GAAGCATCCCAGGCAGGCCTCAAAGACAGCCATCACCTGTCTTCGTGTCTGACCTTCTAATTTAAAAGTCAGCTTCAATTTATTTGTTTCAATTTGATGTTATATGGAGTTCCTTTAGGAGATCGTTTACCTTGCAGTTCAAGCAGATTCACTGAGGAGGCAAACAGAGCTTGAGACGTGGCATAAAGGGTCTCAGTTCTCATTTTGAGAAGTATTTGGGGACAATATTAATTATGAAAAAATTAAGACTTTTTGTGATCAGAGTAAAAAAAAAAAAATTCATTATGTGAGAGTACAAAGGAAATGTTGAAAAAGTTAGTGAGTGTTGAACGTGCTTTTTCCCTGAAGCAGAGTTCAGTATTTTCTACTGCTTAGGGTGTCCAATACTGTAACAGTGAGGTCACGGGCCAGGGCAAGGCTCCAAGTGCACACAGGGCTCTTGCAGTGTCTGTTGCAGAGTAACTTGGAGAAAGGATTTATCCCATCCCATTTCAGAGGGATTTTGTTTCCATCAGAAGTTGTTACACTCCTGAGCCTGGAGGCTCTCTATTTTCCATATTTAATCACATTACTTGGAAATGGGAGTTTAGTTATCTGACTCATTACAAGGAACAGAATTCAAAACCACTAATGTGTCTAAAACAGAAAAGTACACCCCCTTCTTGTACACAGCTTTCCAAACACAATTTTAAAAATATCTTACACTCACACCCCCAAACACACACAGAACTGCTAATCTTAGTCCTCTGCTCCAGCCTAACCTTTCCTGTGTCTGGAGTCTCAACGTCTGTCTCGCAGCAGCTACAGCTTGTCAACAGGCAGTAAGGAAAATGGTGACAATGACAACTGCTACATGAGAATTCCTGCAAGCACAGGAGGATTGTGGTGATTGTGATCATCAAACATCTGCAAGGCAGACCACTTGAGTCATCTCTTAGCTTGTTTTTCACAGCCTGTAATCATACAGTTGAAACACTCCATAACAGTCTGTAGGTAAATGCAATTTATGTGCAATTAAATTAATGGTGAAGTGGATATAGCCTCTGATATCTGCTAAACTTCCAAATTTCTGACTGAGCTGCTGGGCACACAGTGTCTTGCTGTGTAAAGGTAATAAAGGTGCCTCAATGCAGAGCAAGAAGCAGCAGTTTGAGAGCTGTTCTGATGCTGGGTTTCATACAAAAGCACTCTCAGTAAAAGTAATGATAGTTTGAAAAGCTAAGACAGGAATAACATGTATTGACCAGAATTTCTAACTACAGCTGAAAACCAAAGATGTTCAAACACTTTTTGCATTAAATCTGCTATTTACATATAACCTGTTTATTATGACACAGAAGGGGAGTTTGAAAAAACATCTTCAGGGCATCAAGCATTTGAAGCTGTCTCTCACCAAATAAAACAGAGATAGATCAGACATATCTGGGATTCTCTTCAGCTTTGCTGAGATTTCACTAGTGCTGTTTTCTTAGAAAAAGCTCAGGTTCTTTCAGTGATGACTCAGCAATGAGTCTAACAAGCCTCAAACAAGAGGAAATGAAAGTGTTTGGTGTTATGCTGTGCAAGATCCTTGCGGTGCAATCTTCCTCCCTTCCATGTAAGGATTTTCGGGTCAAATCACTGCCAAAACAAAGAGTGGGAACTAATTCTAACTTTGTGAATATTTAATCCTAAGGATCACTTGGCTAATAAGAGAACATTGCCATAAATATGGGCTCTTGGAAACTCAGTTGGCTAATAGAAACTGAATTAGTAGATGGAAAAAGTTCACGGAGTTAGTTTTGTTCATGGCATCCTTCGGTGCCTCTTAAGATAAGGGGTGCCCAAGGTGACTCCTTGTGTCCCATGAAAGCAAAAAATGTTGCCCTCAGTGCACTGGTTTGGTGCTGTAGGTTATGAGCCAGTCAAGAGCAGAGAACTGCAGGCTGCTGGAATCAGTCATCACATTTTCCACCCTAAATAACACTAGTTTAGAAATATTATTTGTAATTAGCACTGCAATTCGTCCCCTTGATACGGATTCATCACGACATTTTTCCAGTCAGCAAAATAACTGGTGCTTTCATTGACACCACGTGTGTTTTTACTAGAGTTTGTCCTTCTTACTGCTTGCTCAACAGAGTTTTCTGCAGTTATCTGCACTTCTCTGCTCAACAGAGGCATCTGCAGTTCCTGCACACATTTTGCCAGCTCCATGACCTGGTGTGCTGTGCTGCTGCCCAGTGCCAGTGTCCTGTGCCACTGCACACAGGGATGGTTTCTCTGCTGCTACAAAGACAGTTCTGTTCCAAAGCCCCAGTCAGGAGAAGTTAAAGGGAAGGCTCAAGACATGTCAAGGCCAATTCTACATCTCAGTCTAAACAAAGAGAAAGACTGAATTCAAGATCTTAAGTTTGAAGCTTAGATTCCAATTTTGGCTGTAGAAGGGCTAAATTATTACTAATTATCATTAGTCAGATCTGTAATAGGATAGTTGTTCCTCTGGCCATGCCTTTTCACTCACAAAAAAGATGGTTTAATAGATATTTGAGGAAAATATATTGAATTCAGCCTTACTGCCATCTAGCCCAGAGACCCTCTCAGCTCTATGCTTGGTTTCGTTTGAGTAAAAGCTGTTGTTCCCTGACTGTGAAATGTAAATGGCTCAGCTTACCCAGCGCTTCCCTCATCATCAGCCCTCTGTAGTCCTTGGATAGTACAGATCCTTGTAGGAAAAGAAAAAAAAAAAGGGGAAAAAAAAGAAACCAGACATCTCTCAAGGCATGAGCAAGGTGGAATTAATGGGATTCCCTGGTAGCCTAACAGCAACATTTGCTGAAACTTAACACTTTCCATTTAATTAAAAATACCACATAATTCAAAATATTTTAAAAATTCAGTAGCCAAGCACTGCTACATTTGACTAGAACCCAACTTCTTCCTTACTAAAAATAGAATTAAAAAGTTATCTTCTACTCAAGCTGAAAATAGGGAAGAGTTAGATATAAAATTCTGACTGAAATGTTTAGGGTGAGCTCTAAAGAAAAGTGACTTTCAAAGTAGTAAGAATTTGGCATCCAATTCATTCTCATGGATATCTTGCTTCCCAACACAAGAAGGAGAATTCTACTCCCTTCTACCTCTTCTGCTTCAATGGGCAGAAGGAAGGAAGCTGTTCCAGGTCCTTTGCTGGGGAACTGTTTTTCTCCTTTTGCTATCAGACAGTGGCTCCTTCACTGAACCTTTTTTTTTTCCAAACTAGAATTATAAAGCTATTTTGCCAATCTAAACACATCTTTGAGAGTATCTCGTTATATTGCAGTAATACTCCTTAAGCAAATTGGCAGAAATTATTTCTTTCGCAGTTCAATGCTTTGTTCAAAAGACAAATAGAAGATATGCAAGACCCAGAACAAAGTCTCAAATAACCACACTGAACAAACACTTGCTTTATAAGAGTTACCTGCAGAAAATCTGCACTGTGATAAACAACCTCTGTTCAAATATACATAGCACTTAAATGAGAAAATCAAGCAATATCTGTACAACAGAGGAAAATAAAACCCTGAATAGTCTCAGTTGGATAATTTTCATATATTCTTTCAACAAAATCATTCTTTAAGTTCATTTGACTTCAGCAGGTTTTGATCACACATCCTTCCCTACCTGCCTTTCCTCCTTAGTGTGTCCAGTGTTCTCTAAAGACCTGTATCATCTTTTTTCAGTGTCTGATGGCCTTTACAAACACTGAGGTGAACCGAGGATGTGCCACTCCGAAAGAGTGGCCAAGAAATGTAGCAAGTTAAACTTTGCCACCATGTGAAATATGCACTTCTCCAGCCCTATAAAATACAGCCTTCCACTGTGGCGTCTAAAGCTGCAAAGAGCTGGATGGTATAATCCGGGTTAGAGGGGTTAGCAGGGAGCTGCATCCCGCAGGAGAGAATTCTGGGAGGCTGCACATCCTGTAACATCCCGCTAAAGCACACACTGCTCTCTTCTTGCAGGCTCAGCCAGCAAAAAGAAGGGGCAGAGGAAAGAGCTGCTCCTCCCCTGGCTCTGTTTCTCCCCTTCCGATTTTCAGCAGGGAGGAGGCCCCTGTTACAGGGAGGCTCCAGGGCTGCACTTCATTCGTGGCACAGGTCTCACTTCCAGTCTGTAAGCGCCCTATGTTAGAATGTATTTCAGCCCTTTGGAGCTGAAACTACAGCTTTAGCTGTGACCTTTACAGCACATAGTATGTGATCAGCACATAAACAAGCTAATCTAACCCCTTAACCATATTCTGCTTCAGTAAGATGGCACAGCTGCCTAAGAAGTTAAAGCTGAGCAAGCAAAAGTAGTACCCACGGAGCAGGAACTTTAAGCCTCTTTGTATTCTTAAGAGGTTAAATTACAAACTCTGTCCAGTCACGGAACAGCTTACAACATTATCTCATGTGGGCTTCCCAAATCAGTGTTCTCTGTGTGCCACAGCTTCACTGAAAAGCTGTGCCAGATAATTTAATGCCAAGTGTTCAATTAGGATCGCAGACTCTGGTTCACTTGCAGGGACTACACTGGGTGCTTAGAAGCATATAATTTATATGGCATTTTATTTATTATTTTTTTACAGGCAAGAACTTAGCAATATTTTGGTTGGGTGCCTTTGTAGTCTTACTGATTTTCCCTGTTTCGTATTACGAAAACAAAGCAAAATTAATAAATCTAAAATGCCAGATATTTACGTAAGAAAAATAATTTCTATATAAGAAATCGAAGAAGAATATAAAGAGTTTAAATTGGAGCTTTCTTTTTTGTAAATAAGGAACAAGGGCTGTCACTCACGTTCCAGGATGAAATATTGCAGCAGTACGAGATATTGATTCATTTTTTTTTACCAGCTTTTTTCCAGGGACAACTGTCCTGCTAGAAAAGCCGAAAGCCTTTTACAGCAGAGATACCTTTTTTAATTTTCTTTCTCTGGCAACTTCAGCAGTTACATAAGGCTATGAATGGAAATGGCCAATGCCAGGGCATGGATGTTCCCTTCTCTTGATGCCACGACACAAACAGACCCCTCTGCAGTGCGACAAACCAGATACCTTAGAGCAGGAGTATTTGAAACCATCACAGCAAGACTCACCAGGCCATAAATGAAGCAGGAGAGAGATAATAAACACTGCATATTCTGAGAGACTGATCCAGCAAATAGTCATGCACTTGCTTCAGTGTCTGTGAGATAACAGCTCTCTGAAAGGTGGTAAAGGGCAGTCATTTGTCTTCATACTTAGGCCACCTTAAGATGAGTGTGTTAACAGGATGCCTGAATCCCTCTGCTTTCATAATGGCTCCTGTGGAAATGAAAGGGATAATATTATGCAGACCTACTTGCTTCAGTATGGAAAGGGATTCTTTAGCTTTGCTTATCAAGCATGCAGGTTAAGTATAGGTTTTCTAATACAGTCTTCTCATGTGGTATATTTTTCAGAATCAGGATGACCTAAGATAATGATTTTGAAAACCCTGAAGTACAAATGATGTTTGTATCAAATCATGACATAGTTCTTTACTTTAAATAGCTTATTAGAAATAATGATGAATTTAAGAAGGTATAGAACATTTAGCACCATTACCGCCTCCTATAATGCAATATCTTTAGGAGTTTTAAATGAAAAATTGTCATTATTGAATATTTTTGGGTTTTCTCCTTCCTCCTCATGTCCCTCAAATGTTTTTGAGGGTTCGTTTACTTACTACTGCAGTGCCTTTCAAGCTAAATTTACTTCATTTAAAAGTACTGTTATTCTCTCACAGCTTTCAGTCCCTGAAATATCCAACACTTCACCTGTCTGATGAGGTTGTTTCTTAACTAAATTAGCTCCCTTGGTCAGACCATGGTGCTCATAATGCCAAGGTCACGGGTTCCGTCCCTGTACAGGCCATTCATGTAGGAGTTGGATTTGATGATCCTTGTGGGTCCCTTCCAACTCAAAATATTCTGTGACTATCTGAGATTTGACATCGAAACTCAGTTAACAGCTCTGTAGTTGAAGTTTTGCCTGGAACAGAGTAGAAAAAACCACACTTGCAGTTCCTTCAGCTATGTAAGGCTACCTACAGCAGAAAGTGATAAAAGATGAACTTCACTGGGTAAAGGCATTAGCATCTGGCAGTATGTACAGAAGCAGGCCTTTATAACAAGGCCATACTTACAATTCAAGTATTACAAGTATTCAGTGCTCAGACACAGTTTGAAAATATTGTGTTCTGCTTTTCAAAAGCCTGTAATTGTGTGTTCAATCAAAAAATTTGCTACTGATAAGGTGTGGTCCTATCTGTCCTTTTTGTTGGCAGCATGCAAGACGACAGTTTAGAAACCTCAACTTCTATATCTCAGCTTCTGAGAGAGAGTTATTTAGCTGAAACTAAGCATCAAGGGAAGAGTGAAAGAAGCAGATCAGAGCCAGTTTCTCATAATTTCCACTATGGCAACGCTTCTGGTGATTCAGATGAGGTAGCTGCTCAAGATGACCTTCCAGATCTCTCTGCCTTTTTAAGCCAAGAAGAGCTTGATGAAAGTGTAAACCTAGCAAGACAAGCTATTGATCAGAATCCACTGGAAACTAAACAGGATGAGCTTCAGGCACAGTCACAGCATCCCCCAGATCAGCTGAACAACCCGGGAAAACACAAACAAATGGCCCAGTCTACAGCTTTGAAAACATCAGACAACGGCCTGCACTCCAACTTTTGTCAGGACCATATCAGAAATACAAAGGGCTCCAAAGGGAGCTCTCAAGATCTGAAGAAACATCACCTCCCATCTGAATCAGAATCCAAAAAGGAATTCCTAAACAAGGCAGCAGATTTCATTGAGGAGCTCTCCTCACTTTTCAAAGCTCACAACTCTGAAAGAATAAGACCCCGAACGTGCAAAAACTACAGGAGCAAGATTGATTCCAAGAATAAATCTGCTCAAAAAAGTAGCTCTAGCCTGTCTCTCACATCAGAAAACAGAGAAAGGCTTTCCATTCCAGCATCTCAAGACTTGGAAAACACAGCAGAAAAAACATTTGAACAAACAGATGATCAACAGGCAGCAAACTTGGAATCTGTTAATCAATTAACAAGTGCAGAGCTAAAAACAGAGTCAGAATCTGCATCTGTATATTCTGATGAGCCTATCGGACAACCACCACGCTTTACTCAGAAACTGAAGAGCAGGGAAGTTCCTGAAGGAACCAAAGTGCAATTGGACTGCATTGTGGTAGGAATCCCAGCACCTGAAGTCAGGTAAACATATTCTGCACTTGTCATTTTGTATGTCTGTAATGGTAGGTGTATGCCTTCCTCTGTCCAGATATTTTGATGCATGAGTTTCAGTAATCTGCAGCAGAAATCTCCTGGTCTTGGTTACTAAAAACTGATTAAGAAAAAAAAATTGCTCTCTACAAAAGGTTGTATATATTTTCAGACAACGTATTTTGGGACATGTTACCTTCTTTGAATTTTAGAGTAATGCTTTTAAATACTGTGCTTCTTTAATTAAAAGAACGTGTGGAGTCCATAGTGAGAAATGTTAGTTATCTTTATAGAAATCAAGCCTGACCGTGTAAACCAACTAAAAACACCAATGGCTGTGACACCTCGTGCTGATGCCTGAAGCTATCTGAGATGAGAGAACATAGGATCCCAGAAACCAAAAACATCCACACATGAACGGAGAGGAAAGAAGGTCATTTCAGTTATTACACCAGTTATAACCAAAAACAGCTCAGTTCTAATCCTGATTCTGACAAAGATTCTGCTGAGACCTTAGAAAAAACATTTCTGTTTGATCAAGTATAAGACACCCCTGTTAATTGTCACTTATTCATGATGGGTGACTGCTATTTCTGATATTTCTTTTTTCACCAATATCTATGAGGATTTTGAAAGTCAAATAAGTAACACTTGAAAACATCACCGGAGATGAAAGGAAATGTGACAAAGGTACACACATCAATTACATCAATGAAATGAGAAACAGATTACTCTAACTTTTAAATTTATCTTGAAAATTCTTAGATCTCATCAGCATTTCTATATCTAAATTTGTTCACAGAGAGCTCATTAGTCAAATTTACCTCTCTCTTACAGTGGTGGAATCATATTTCCTTTGCTGGGACTGTACCAATCCAAAAGAAAGGAAAACTCTGTCCACCTTTTAGAGATGTACTATGCATATTTGCATCCTAATATCTGAAGTATCACACATAGATATCCTTAGTCAAGGTGGCTGCCTATTCTTTTATAGGCATTTTAGAAATCTGTGTTGCTTCTCTAAATATTGAAAAGAACTGTTTGCACCTTCAACATCTAATGATCTGGACCATTCACAGATGGTCTGTATTTTCTAACTGCACTTCTACTGCAGCCAACACCTTTTATCATCTTTCTTACCGAACTAACAGGCACAATCATCAAGTGAAAACTGTCTCAATATCCAAATACGGATGCTCCAAAGATTTTTGTGGTAAAGAATCTTTGTCTTCCTCTCCCTTGGATTTCTGGCACAGCAGCTGCTAATTTTTCAGAAGGAAAAAGCATTTACAATGCACCATTAATTACATAGGAAGAAGGATCTACAAGTGAATCCACTTGTAATGGACATCTTATCATGGAGGTGTGAAGTTGTCCAGTCCATGGGATCCCTGGACTGTGACTTTCAGACTGTTTTGCCCCACTAGTGCCTTCAGTAGGTTCTCAGTCCCTAAAAAGACCTTGACCTGTGGTGCTAGACAGGGTCTTTCATGCATGATAGGAATGTGAACTTCCAAAGGACTAAATGATTTTTTTATAGAAGAGAAATCCGCTCTAAAGCTGGGGGAAATACTTTGTTTGGGAAAAATATAATTTCTACTGCGCTTCATGTCTAAACTCACTGCTTTAATTAACAGTTCTGAGGCATTCCCTTGGTGGAGCTTATGGCATTACAAATGCTGTATTATGCTCAGCCCTTAAACTCATAGAGGATTCCGACTAAAAGAGAAAACAATCCCAGAAATTTGGAGTTTTTTCTTAGAAAACAGGCAGGAAATATCATCATCCCCTAGATATTAGCAACACTCTCTGAACACTTTGCTTGCATATAAAGACTTTGAGACTTGTTTCTCCAGGTATTTGCCTTGATAAAACTTTTTGATATTAAAAATGTCAGTAGGATCCCTGGATATGATAAACATTTTTTTCCTCTCTCATCGCACATAGTTTATAATGCAAAGAAAACAAGTGAAATAATCTTCTCTTATGTGTATAGACCTGTAGACAAACTCAAGCTGGCTTTCTTCATATTCAGAACAGAATTCAGAACAGAATAGAAACTGAATTGTTTGTTTACAGACTGTACTCTAGTGCACAATGTTAATTTTATTTATTTCTCCAGAAGGCCACAACCACAGCTCCTCATGATCGTGCTGTTGACACACATAAAACTAACAAGGTGTTCCTGCCATCTTTAGGTGTTAACAACTATCTGAATTAGAAGCTGACACTACAAAGTCACTGAAGCCTTGCAAGGGCAGATTGGAGAACCCAGGAACAATGGTTCAGCCAGTGGATTATTCAGGGATGACTGGAATGCCTATACACCCAATTCAGGGACCACTTGATTGCACAGAAAAGGATGATGGGTATCTTTGTAAATTGGAGCTATTTTTGTCACAACAAAACTGAAGTTTTTCATCGAGATTTCTATTTCAACAATTGATTTTTTTCATTTTTATAAATAAAACAAGCTACTTATGCGAATGACAGTCAATACAGGAGCTTCAAAACACTTCTATAGAATAAGCATCCACCAGATGTAGCAAAATAGGGGCGGGGAGAAAAAAGTCCCATAGGGAAAATCAGTGCCAAGAAGGAAAGCTCAAGAAAAAGATCAGGCTCAGCTTTCAGTTTCACAATTTAAACCAAGAAATAAAAGATAAATCACAAGGAGTACCTCCGAACTCTCTCTCCCCTTGTGTTTGTGTGCATGTCTGTACGTGCTGTATTATGGAGAAGGCTGGGAATGTTCGTTGCTTGAACAGTTTCCTGATCACAGTTGTTTGTTAACAAAACTTTTGTCCTGTTCATCCAAGATTCTTTCAACTCCACTAATGTGTAGGAGTAACACTAAGAAAGGGTGTAAAAAATATCACTTGCCTGAGTGATAAATGTTCACTTGCTTCCAGTGATCTTGGCCTTTTTAGTCACTGTTATAGCACAAGGAAACCAGAAAATATAATGTACTTTGGGGTATGTGTTCCATTAACCTTGGAGACCACAAGAATGCAGGATTTTTTCACTAAAAATAGTGCTCATCTTTGATCTGCTGTGTAAAGCTTCCAAAATAGTGAAGGAGGCATCTTGTTAGCCATAGTTGTGGAACTGTGACCAGAACCAGGCTCAGAACGGGCAACTGTCTTGCTTTGAGGATAACAGTTTTCCAAGGTTTGTGGTGATTTAGTTCGGTATCTGTGGAGGAGGACAAGGAGAGACGAATTCTAATAAATAAGAAATAAAAATATCATCAGTCCCAGTACAGGGCTGACTGGCAAGGTAGTAACTGATGAAAAAAAGCTTAATCACCTGTGACTTAAAATAGGCTTCCTAGCCACAGAAAGGAATCCAAGGTGCATATATTAAACACAATTGCAATGTAAAAGTGGTACTGTGGGAACCCAGAGCATTGTGAAACAAGAACAAGATTCAACAAGCTCTGTCATGTAGTTACTCAGTCAACACTAGGAGCAGTCAGATGGTTCAGCTGATGTAATGGGGATTATAAAAGAAAAATTAGAGATCTGAGATTCAGAAAAAAGCTGATCACAGGGATGGAAAGGACTGGAAATATGAAGGGCAGATACCATGTTTGAAAGCAAGACAATACAAAACCAAATTAATGTAAAAGATGGTGTAAATGACAGTCATGATGGATCAGGGCCAAAATATCATTGGCTATGACGAAGCATTATAATTCACAGGCACAGTAGGTAACCATGTAGCATGTATGAGGGCTCACTGAGGGACAGAAGATTGAATGAAATTTGGAACTCATATGAAATATCAGATATATGGAAAGCTAAATCCTGCCTGGCTGAATACAGAAAAACTGCTTTTTAAGATAACTCAGCCTCAGTGTAACAAACCCACAAGTCTGAGGAAGCTTGTGAAACCTACCTGTCTAGAAGTTTTGGTGAAATGTTACCCATTTTTCAGTCTCATCGGCTGAATGCAGTGTCACAGAAGAGATGGGCAAAGATTGATACCATAGTTTGTGCACCTCTAGGTAGCTCAAACTTTAGCTCACAACAAAAGAGGACTACTACAGTTATGGATGATTGCTTTACTCTGACTATACTGCGGGTCAGAAATAAGCATTAAAGAGAAATGTGTAGCATATTTCCAAAGTGCCAAAGGTTTGATGACCTCCCTCTCATGCTTCCCTCTCCAGCTCTGTTTCTGTGTCAGTAATGGTAGGTGTGACAATCACTCCTCTCTGTGAGGAGAGCACTCCTTTTCCCCTCAAGTTCAGAGGTGCCTACATTTTTCCAAACGGTTTGGCACATCACTCCTAGGTTAATTTTACTTATGAATCACATTGCATGGTTTGGCATACACAGCTATCCTGGAAGTGTCATGAGGATTTGATGTTCTAAAAACAGGCTGCATGTCATAAGGTTTCCATGAAAACATTCTTTAACGTAGCCACACAAAGCTTAAAAAGTGCATTTTAGTGCTCTTTTGTTTGAGGAGACCTGCAATTAATCACTGATTTTTAGAGGCTCTGAAGCCACACAAGATGAAGATATTTCTTCCTGGCTGCCAGATGAAAACCTTTATCTGGTTTAGCACTCCAAGCCTAGAGCCAAACTCCTCTTACATGCAACTCCAGTCACGTCAATGGATCAAGCCCTGGGATGAATGTGGCACAGTGGATGTGCTCCATGTGCAGCTCCCTGGCGTGAGGAAGCTATCGTTGCAATCCGTGGCAGGAATGAAATGTCAGTGACAGAGGCTGTTGCTGCTTCAGTCATGCCACGCATCTCAATGTCAGAACTCCCCTTGGAACTGACATTTCGCTGCTACCACGTACAGCGTTTTCGTGGTAAGTATAGAACCAAATGTTAACAGGCAAGAAGTAGATATGGCCACACCGAAGATTTACATGAAGATTAACTTCACAAGAGACAATTGCTTTTCATTTATAAGCATTGCAAAGAGGTGACGTGCATGTAACATGCTCTGCGTCTCAACCTAATCTCAAAGTATTTGAACATTATGCTGAAAATAGTGACTCAAGAACACGCTGCTTAGGAGAACTAAACACAGGTTTGAAACAGAAGTTTATTCCTGAAGTTGTAAATCACTTATGTTGCAAGTTTAGGACTAGTGAAATGAAAAACTAACTGCAAAGCATAGAATTAACTCAGTCCTGCTTCACTGTTTGTTTGAGTCTACTGCTCACGTACTACTACAATAATTGGACAAATTAGCTTACATGGTGGTTTTAAATTTGCTTATAGGAAAATAGAATTGTGCCTCACAAAAGCATGCGATACAGACTTACCTCTACACAAACAGGTTAACTGGAAAAGCAGTAGTAACACAGGAGTTTTACCTTACTGGTGATTATTATCCCAGCATTTTGTGCAATGTGTTTTGCTCTCTGTGTCACTTCAGTGAGAACCACATTTAAGTGGACACAAAAATATAGTATCACTCTACTATGTAAGTTATTTTAATGTTCTGGAAAGATGCTGCTGAAAATGGGATCAAATTCTAGAACCCGGGTACTCTCTTTAATACTTATTCATATCTGCTAAAGCTAACATGCTAAAACAAGGCTACAATATAAGGCAGAGGCATGAGGTAGGTGTATAAAAAGACATGAGTAAGTGCTGTGACTCACGTCCCAAAGTACACAGTTGCCTGCATGAATTAGACACCTCAAAGGCAGCTTGTACATTCATATACCAAATCTGTGCTTGTAGTCATAAAACTGCATGAACCTTAGGTCTTCTCTCCTGATAATGTAACTATTTTTAATTACCCCCAATTGCAAATCTTCAAAACAACAGTAGAATAAACCATATTGTAGATAGAATGTACCTGACATGTCTAATGTTTCTAACTATTAGTGGGGAAAATAACAGATTTGGGCAAGTCATTATGAGCAAAGTTTAAACTAGGTGTAGCTGTTCCTTCTGCTTGAAGAGGTTTATTTTAGAGCATCTGACAGGACTGTGACAGAATATGAACACTACAGCTCAATCAGAAAAAGCTAGAAAAAGAATTATTTCTAAAGGAAAAGTATTTTGAATGGAAGCGTAACCCAGTTCCTTCAAAATAAAGATTATACAAATAAAAAGTAGTATTTTCAAACTAAATATTATTGAAGAACCATACAGTCTAATCTACTAGAAAAATAATGGTAATGGTACTGAGACAGTGAAATCCTTTAAAAAAGAGGTAGTTTGTAAAGAATCATTTTAAGACCAGTGATTTCACGTTTTAAAAATTATTTTTAGGTGCTGCTTCACACATGGTGGAAAAAGTCAAAGAGAATGGAAGATAAAAGCAAAGATAAAAAGATAAAGAGAATGGTTACATACTCCAGAGAAATAAATGAATATACATACATGTATATATTTACTCTGTTCTTACATTCTCCCCTAAGTGTCTGCTTTTGGCCACTGCCAAGACCTCATGCTGGGTGAGGTGGATCTGTAGTCTGACACAGAGCACCCAGTAAGTTCTTCCCCATCTTTTGACATGTGCCAGCTCACCTGGCACCCTAGGGTATGTGCTGCTGTTATTATTCCCTTTTGTATGAGGACAGCTGTCTCTTAAATTTCCAAAGGTGCTGCATGTTGTAGGGGTGTGGTTAATATCCAGAACTCTGTTTGCATCTGCACTGCGAAGAATCTCAAACGAGTTTCATTGAGCTGTGAGAAGCAGCATGAATGGCTGCTGAAAGTTACTCTGCAGTAAAGTGCTGTCCTGGGCAGAGTATCCACTGACAGAGCAGCCCTCACAGCATCTCATTTTGCCCACCAGAGTGGGAGAAAACCTAGCAAATGAACTATGTTGAACCTTAAATGGCCACCAGTTTTATCATCAGAAAGCCTTCGAACATTGTCATCCTAATTGTCAAGTTGTTTGCACTGATAAACAAAATTTCCTTAGTGGTGTGGCTCAAGCAAACATCTGTGGCAATTTAATATGCAGCTGTAGCCTTCTGACTGCCCAGTCCCTTCTTTTATGGTCATTAACAGTTACCAAAAGTGATGTATAGGAGAATCTGTACAGTTCAGTCATCCTCAATCCTTTATGTGGTGTCCTGGCACAAACCCATTTTCATTAGACCAGAAGTGGAGCAGCTGGGTCTGGGAATACATTTGAACCTGCCGGCCTTGCTCCAGAAGGAGAAAGCTCTAGCAAGGAAGTCAGCATCAGGGTTTTAACATTTTAAAGTCCTGCTGGCAGACCTGCAAGAGCTCGTCCACTCCTTCTTTTAGAGCCCTAAGGCTCAAATGGAAGAGAAATCAGTAACTTCGGTTGAAGTTCTCGGCATCAGGTGTGTAGGATCCATTCTGCAGTGCAGGAGCTTCCCTCTGGAACAGGCAGACCTGTCTGTCTCCTTTCCAAGCTGCATTTCCAAGTCAGTTGACTGTCCAGGTATGGATTACACTGATGTGCAACTCCAAGTGGAGCAGGAAACACCCTGTCTGCTCTGAGAAAGCCGTGTTGGGGGGCTGGGACTGATGGGGCACAAATGGGGCATTGTTTATTGCTCAGCTACATAATCAACATTGAAGTTTTAGATCTGTAGTCCTTAATACCTCACGGACCCTTTGAGGATCCTTTTTCAGTTCTGTATTATACTTCTATTGAATTCTGGTTTTCTGCTAGTATGGACTGTTTTAGAAATTACTTTTTTTTCCAATATATTAATTCAGGGCTTTCTTCATGCTCAATTTGTAGCATAAACTGTTGTTAAAAAGTTGTGCAATTGAATGGTTAAACATATTTATTTATTCATGTTTTCCTAAAATATCTGAGATGGAAATGTATTGAAATACCTTATAGTACAAGGCAATAAATACTAATTATTACAATTTATTACTCCAAAACCTATCCTTATCCTTTCCACAACAATCTTATTTGCTGTAGTACCACCCAAATGTTGGCAGGTCCTTTTCCCAAGTTACCATGTAAGATGGATTAAACAATTATTACTTTTTTTAAAAACCAACTGAATAAAAAATGTTAGTAGTATGACAGCACCCACTGTCACATGCAGAAGATGCTTTACTAAATCATATGTTATTAAGAAAGTCATAGTAAGAAAATACAAAGATTTTTATGTAGTTTTATATCTGTCTACATTTATAAGAAAAGTTACAGTGAAGATGAATGTGCTTTAGCTTGGCTTTTCAAATCTAGCTAGTTATGTACAAATACAGGTATTTCTGAGTTTTATCCCAAATATTTAGCTCTGGATCTTGACAGATAGCACTACACTTTCTGTATAAAACCTAGATTGTCGTGTTAAATTGGAATCTGTTTCTGCAAACCCACCTGATTTTTCTCTTTCTGTTCTGCCTTGTCCATACTGAAAAGCAAAAGCAATCAGGCCAACATATTCTTGGATGGGTGACTGTGTTTAAAAGAGGAACACAGCAATATGATACAGAAAAGAATTCAAGGTGCAGCTGTCTCACTGGCTGTTCCTGCACGCAAGTGCCTCTGTATCGTAATAGATCAATTCCCTTACTTATGCCATCTTTTATAAAAAGCAGATTGGGTTAAATACATGACAAAACAAAGGGCAACACTATAGTAAATTTCAGTCACATTCTGAATTAACATGAACTTTGGAAATACAAGTTTCAGGTAAAATTATTTACTTACAGTGGGGTTTTTTTGCTGCACTTCAAGCCACAACACAGACCTGAATGTACCTTAAGAGAAATTCAGAGCTGGATTGACAGTGTTCCAAATTCATAGCTCTTTTACTCTATATTGAATAATACAAAATTCATAAATATTTTATTCCTATGACTGTTGATTCAATACTTGCCTGCAGCACTCTGTCAGAATCTTCAGGCTAAACCTGCCAATTTTATCATCAGAAAGACTTAAAGCATTGCCATCCTAGTTGACAAGTTGTTTGCATTGATAAACAAAATTTTTTGCCTTACAGGTGGTACTGTGAAGGGAAGGAGCTTGAAAACTCACCAGACATTCAAATTATCCAGACAGGTGATCAGCACTCATTGATTATTGTTGAAGCTTTTGAGGAGGACACAGGACGTTACTCGTGCTTTGCTTCAAACATCTATGGAACAGACTCCACTTCTGCAGAGATTTACATAGAAGGTAACGTCAGAAGTGGTGCAGAAATGGATTGCTGAAATTGGTCACGCAGGATTAAGACATGATTATGTGTCTTGTTTGCTAACTGTGTGATAGTTTTGTCACAAAAAAATACGTAGCAGGGAGAAAACACTTTTCATCATTATTACCATCTTCATTATTTCCCTATAAAGCACCATTCAGACAAGAGACTGCCCTTTACGTGTTATTTTATTGTGTCGCTTCCCAGAGATTTTATATATCTCACTGTAAGATCAAGGTCTAGAAATATTCAGATTCTGATGCCACCTTGTATTTTTTATCTGTGGAACTCTACAGAAATATAAGAACTTAATATTTGTGTCTAATTCTTATTAATCCCTTTTCCCTACAGTCACTATTACAAGTTGAACATAGGACCCCTTCCTCTTAACCCTTTATTGGGCCCTGTAACCAAAATAAATATGTCATCAATTTGGTATTTTACTTGCCCAGTAGAGGTAAATAAAACAGAGTATATATCTGCAGATTTAGATGTCTTCTTTCTCCTTATGCTTTCTACTACACCTACTGGGCCTAAGAGAAGTCTACTTATATTTCTTTTTAACACTTTGTTGGGTAAGATTTTAGATTGCATCCATCATTTGCAGGACTACAAATTTGAAATAAACACAGAGGATATTTTTTTCCATTCTCAAGCAGAAAAATAAACCGTGAGCACCATCACTGACAGCAGTGGGACAATCACAAATTAAAGCAGTGCCCTACTTAATACAGGGTGGATTTTGTTCTACTGATGCTCCTCTTTCACATCTCTAATCTGACAATGAAATGAAGAATCCTTTTTTAGGTTCTGCACTGCCTCTGACACTGCTGGGAGATGTCTGTGCTTGGCAGGGATTTCCTAGTTCTCCAGACAGAGGCCAAGGTCTGCTGTTACCTGGCTCAGTGGATGCTGGAGGGAAGTCATGGCTGATGGAGATGCTCACTGGCAGGAGCTGCAGAGAAAATGCAAATTCCAAGCACAGGGAAGGCTGAGTCAGAAGTGTAAAATGTCTCAGCAAGACAGCTGTTAGTAAACTGAGCTATTATCTTCTCCATATTGTGCTACAAGGCTCTAGTTTGAGAATAACAGTTATGATTCAAGGTCTGGTTTTTAACTTTTTTTCCTTTTGAATGGTAGTATCAAGTGTCTGAGAAAAGAAAGCTCTTCCTTGATTCACAACAACAACTACAGACTAAATCATAGAGACATTTTAAAGAGAACCTGAGGAAGACCCAGGTATACATTCACTCTTGGATGCTGTTTTCCTTATTTCAGTTGCACCTCATCCCAAATTTGCCCCATGTCAACAGCAGTTCTGCATCTTGCACAGTATCCAATGCTGGTTCATTTCCCCTGGAATGTGATCTTTTGTTTTGGCACAGCTTTATAATATATATCCATAGAATGCTCTAGAGGAAATCTGATTAATGGTTTGTATCATTCATAGATAAACTTCAAAAACCCCTCTGCTAAATGTTTGTTGGGTTTTTTTTAATTTTTTCATAGGAATCTCTTCTTCTGACTCTGAAGGTGAAATCATCACAAACGAAATGGATCAGTAAGTTTAAAATCAATGACATCTTGCACACTTTTTACCATTAAAAAACCTCATAAGTGCAGACCTTTCAGTTTGCAACCTCCAACACGTTAGGGCTCTGTTTAGGATTTGTTTGGATTGTTTGAGTTGGGTTTTGTTTGCATGCCTGCTTGTTTGATTTACAAATAATATGGAACAAACACACATACGTTCACTTGTGTCTTCAATTTTAGATCAAGAATTGAAACTTTAATTTTAAATATAAACACAAGAGGAAAGATGGCACCTTAAAGATTGAACTACTAAAATTAATTTACTAATCCTGAAGCCATTTGACTAGACCCATCTTAAATGCTGATTTAAGCATCTGACTTGGACAAACAGTGCAGTACAATTTCTCACATGAAAATACAGCATGTCATGCAGTTTTTGGCAGAATATGGGTACAGAATAATTATTTAGATTTAAGATAAGGAAATTAATAGATATGCACTAGAGTAAACTGAAATGATGGTATAAAAGACTACTTAATTATAAAAATAAAATATGTCAGATGTCATCTAAAACCTGGGAAATAGTTTTATTTTTCCTAAATGAAATCCAACCCCTGATCATTTAGAACCTGATCCAATCTCCTAAAATCAACAGTCTTTGGAATCAAAGTCCTTCTATTAACTGAAAAGAGAGTCAGAGTGGTTGAAAACTAAAATAGTCAGTCTTTTGTTTTTAACTCCTTTGCATTCAATCCCAAAAGCAAACTGCTTTATACAGTGAAAATCTTAACCAGATAGACATGCACCCTGTTGGTTTCATCCATCATCAGGGAGCATTATGCTCATTACAAATGTCAGTTTTTAAAATGCAAAGATAAGACATTTGCAGTTTGTTTGACTAAACACCTCAGGCTGACAGCAAATCCTGTTGCATGTGATTTTAAGTTCAGAGGCATAAAATATTCCCCACTGAATTGGTTTGTGGACTTTGATAAATGTAAGGGTTTAATATAAAACTTAAGATCGAGAAGATCTGAAAGGTTTGGGGATGAATTGCTAAGTTTTCCACAGTTCTAGTTCAGACTTGTCTAACTGTCTCAGGCGTATTTTTTTCCATATTCACCTCATCAGGTGTCAATGTAGCACTGACCATGATCTTGACCACCTGATGCTTTCTCTAAATTACTTACCTCATTAAATTGTGAAGTAATTTTTTTTCTGAGATTAAAAAAAAAAAAGCTGCTCTGCCATTGTGGTCCTCAAATGATCAGGTTTGGGTATAATGAAAGTGTCTTCATTTTTCCTCGGCTTCCAGCTGCCTTCACACGAATCTGAACACTGTAATTAAAGGAATTAATATGAGAACAGGTGCTAAAAGAAGTTCAAAAGAGAAATCAGTGATCACAACAACAGTTGTATCTTCACTCTGAGTAAGGTTTCCTCTGTTTTAAAGGTTGGGCTTCCTGTGGGGACCTGGGCACCTCAAACTGGATAAAAAGACCATCTCTTCACTGTTTGCATTATTTCACTTAGCGATAAAATTAAATAGGGTCAACTCTTATAATCACACATAGAAACAGCGTAGAAGTGAATAGGTGCCTATCTGTACACTATCAGAATTGAGGATATGTTGGTCAGAAAGTATCTATTGTTCAGCAATAAATTATTGAATCTGTACCAAGCAAACCATGGTATTTTCATTATCTTATAGGCCCAAACTTTCCCACAAGAGAAACCAGCACTGTCCTCTGTGAAACCAGCACTGCTTTGTCATGCTGCTCAGAGCTGGGTTAACTCAGGCCATTTATTGCATTTGGTGTGACTGAACAGGGGTACTAGAGTGGATAGATATGCAGGCTGGCTCCAACAAAATGCAGCTTTACCCAGGAGCACGTGGAATTCAATCCCAGAAGTGAGGCTGATATGTGAGGTTGATATGCAACTGAGACAGACATAACTAAGGAGACACACACACAGAGCTCTGCCTTCCTGTCAGAGAACTTACTCTTGGTTAATATTTCACAGCAAACCAAGGACAGCAGACACCTCTGTGAATGCAGCATCTCCTGCTGTCAGAACTGCAACCAAGCATCAAGAAACCTCCAAGGCACCACCAGCTGTGTTCCAGCCCGTGTCTGTACCTGTCCAGACTGTGTCAACATCAGTTAATCCGGTATGGGAGACAATACAGGGAATTTCAAGGACAAAAAGCAAACTCTTATAAATCACAGACTGACTCATTCACCTTCAATAGCAGCAGCCTATAACGTTTTTCTCTCCCTTGCTACAGAACTCACTTGAAATCTTTTCCTTTCAATGAAACTTATTTTAAGCTAAATCATTTCACTACTATGTTTACTTCATATGTAGATATACGTGTTTGCCACATAAGATTTCAATATCCATATCAAAGAGTTTCTAATTAATGTTAGCATACATTTCGAGTCCTTTTTCTTGCAAACTGTTAGAATATTCACAGCTGTGAATTCTTTCCTGACAGGAAAGAGGAGCCATATTTCCTTAAAACTAAAATGTTCATGAGAAACTCGCTTTACACTTCTTTTTGAAAGTTTACAGGCCAGAATTAGGTGGTAACCAATAAACAGATACTGAACAGGTGAAGCAATGCACCTTTTTACTACAATGAGAATAGAACTAAGCCTCCGAGACATTTCACCATTTAAAAGAAGTTGCTTAAGTCAAGAGTAATAGTTATCTCAAAAAATCACCACTTTTAATCTTGTTGGTTTATAAAACATCATCTATGTAAATGTGGCTCTGTTTCCTGAGATACTGAATTAGTAATTTTGCTTTTCTGGGGCAACTCTTATTTCACTAAAAGGAAAAACTCTATGAAATAATCAATCTAGAAAACAAAATTTTCCAGGAGAAGAATAACTCCATTCTGATTTCACTGAGTAGGATCAAGAGGGTGATATCTCACCTTCTTAAATGGTTTGGTTTAGGCAAAGGAAAAGAATTACAGTAGCAGTCACATACGTGACTTGACTTAACACTTCCTTCTTAACTTTCATAAATATTTTGTGAGTAAGGATTTTAAAAACAAAACTACCACCAAGCAGCCAACAAAGTTTTGCCTTAGGGAATTATTAACAAAAGATGTCACAATACGCTGCAGTGAAGTTTTCCTTGCCAAGATGGACTCGACTAGGCAATAAAGCACTAGCAGCATTTTTGCTGTTATCCCATCCAGGATGATCACCAGCAGTTGTCCACAACAGAATTTATATTCATTGCATTAAATATTTTCCTTTGGACTTCACCCACTTTTCCTGTATATGGAAAAATAATGTCTGAACACCTAAACATCATCTTGTGATGTTTTGCAACCTACAGGCCCAAAGCCCCACTAACTATTTACAAGGACTGGATGGAAGACCTATAATTGCTGCTCCTGTATTTACAAAGGTAATTTGTTCTATGACATATTTGAAAATTAGAGGTCAATTAACTGTAGAAAGAGATGATTAAAAAATTTCTAGCTATCAAATGTAAAAAAAGGAATTATGCATTTCTGAAGCCACTCAAAGATTTAAGTGGCTTTATTAAATCTTACTGAAATCAGTATTACTTCCAGAGCATTAAGGTATTTACTGACTGTCTATTCATTTTCTCTATTAGATGTTACAGGATATTTCAGCTTCTGAGGGGCAGCTTGTTGTCTTTGAATGTCGGGTGAAAGGAGCTCCTTCCCCAAAGGTTGAATGGTATAGAGAAGGAACACTGATAGAAGATTCTCCAGATTTTAGGATATTACAGAAAAGTATGTTTTCTGTGTGAAAGTATTGTGTCTAATAAAATATAGGCAAGCAAAAAAATTGCTAACATAGCAACCCTGTGAATTTCTTATTACAATGGTAAGAACCACACAAGCTGAATTTATGGCAATAAATCTGGGTCCCAGAAGCTCAAAGTGTGAATGGATTGACCAGCACCTCACAGGTAGTATTTGCCTGAGATTCCCCAAATTCTCGAATCATTTTGCCTTCTGCTTTGATCCCTTTGCCACTTCAGTGTCCTCTTCTAATTCAGCCTTACTTCCACTGGGTTTTTTTGAGTTTACACCTTTTATGTAGAGTTCCATTGCCTGTAAATCCCTCACCTTTCAGGTAGGTAATTTTATAATAGTGCTTATGGGCAGTAGATTGCTTATTTATCCACACAAGTAACCTGATGTGCACATTACCATGCTGACACATGCACATGTGTGCACGTGATACACAGTAGGTTGTAAACACAGACTTCTCTGGTAATTTTCAAACACAGTTAAAACATTTGCAATTTTCTCATAAGTCACTGGAATGCTAAAAATTGAGAAAATTCAACAGAAATTCCTTAAATACGACACTAAACCAAACCTCAGTGAAACAATGGTTCATCATAACATGGTTTTGCGCATCTTAGTTTCAGAAATTGTCTTCAAGATAAAGTAGTGCTAATATTGAAAAAAATACTTCTTGCAGAATTTATTTCCTGTTCATAAATTCCCAAAAATGTTCGTAAGTGTTCATATCGTTCAGTGGCTTTGACATGCCATTGAGTAGAAGGCTTGGCTGTCTCTACCACGCCATAAACAGAAAACTGGATCACATTCCAGTATTCCATCATATTGAGGAGTCAAACTTTATATTTAGTGCTTAAAAAAAAATGTTTGCAAAAGCAACTATATTCAATCTAATAATTCTGCTTTTCTTCCCTTCAGAACCACGATCTATGGCTGAACCAGGTGAGGATCATCAAAAGGCTCGTAATTTTTTCATTATATAAATGTGGTGATTTTCCTTCACAAAACATGGATTATTGAAACTCTATAATTTAATTAATGTAATTTTTTCTTTTCTCCATAATCTATAGCTACTTGTAAGTTGCATTTCACTGTAGACTGTTCCATAAATATATAATCTGAATTAGTTCTATCTCTTTTGAAGAAAGTGTTTCCATTCTGCTTTGATCCAGTTCTAACCCGGGATCTAAATGAGCTAAAGATTAATAAAATCAATGTATAAGGGTCCCCAGTACATCTGAGGTCCAAAAGTACACCAGATGATGTAGGACTGAGCTATTTTTATCTAGTTTACCAGTTAGGGAACATTGCATCAGATGTTTAGCCATGTCAGCCATTCCCTGTGCTCCGGACCAGCGTAATATGAGAGTGCCACATCAGGTGTTCCACCCCTGATATCAGCAAATCCTATAAACATGGCTGGGCCTGCTAATTTCAGGGGTCAGGGTAGAAGGCAGGTTACTTCACGTGATCGGAGCAGAGGAGCCTTACAGATTTTGATTACTTCTCCATGAGAGGATCACTCTCCTCAGTATGCTTCTCACTACTAGAAATATAAAGCTGCCCCTCTTAAGATGGAAAATTATCAAAGGAGTATTAATTCTTACATAATAAACTTCTGTAACTCTTCTCCTTGCCCTATTAGAAGTTTTTTTACCCTGAAAAGTGTCTTGAAAGAAACTCCCTCTTTCTGAGATTTAGGATGGAAAAAAATGGAGCTTCAACCAGCACCCAACGACACTGTTCCCTTACTGTCCGCTGGCATCACTGCTGAGTAATGTGAAGCAGTTTGGAGAGGATCATCAGTTGGGTGCAGTTGTCACAGCCTCATCACCTGCTGCTCATTCAGAAGGAATCTGGATTTCCATGCATGCAGCCACTGGCAAATCCCAGCACGATAAACTACATCTTATAATGCCTTAAACTAGTACTATAACAAACTATTATTCTCCAGTAGTTGATAGCAAGCAATCTCTTTGTTGCTACTATGTTCCCCTCAGTGATGCCATGAAACAATCAAGTTTAAGTGTGATACGGTTTTCTACAGAAATACTCATAAAATATTTATCCTGTAGGGTTTTAGGAAAGTTTATTGCAAAAGGGTAGCAAAATAGTCACTAACACTAATTTTGAAGAAATTTTATCAGCCCACATTTCATACACTTTAGATGTCGCTCTCCCTCCCCGTCCCAGCCAAACAAAAGACTTAAAATCCCATCACCATAGGTATTTATTGGCTGGTACTGCTGCCCAGACACATCAGATACTGGTCAGACAGGAGTGCCATAATGCCAGACTTTTCAAGATGGAATATAGTTTTTCATAGTACACTTTTGCTAGCACATTTTTGGTGTCCCCGAGTCTTCTTTGCAAGGAAGTGAAAAGGCACCTTTCTATAAGCATGATTAGCACAACCCCCTCTATCTGCAAATCTGCACGGGTACTTTTGGAAAATGCCAGCCTATATTTTGTGTTTCTCCCTCTCACAAAGTGACTCCACTTGAATTACAATTATATATATATGTATATATATATATAATATATATATAATATAAAATTATAACTGTTAATTATAATTAATCTTTCCATCTGCAGAGATAAAAATATATCTATTTTAGTGAGTTGAGAGTATAGAGTACACTGTATTTTTCTAAATTAAATTTTAAACTGCTTCTGTCTTAAGTCTGTACTTCATGTCCTTAGGAAAACATTTTCCAGTGTTTTCCACATGCTGCTGACACCTGTTCTTCACTTCCATTGGGCATGCTGGAGCACAGAGGACAGCAGTTGCTGCAGACAATGCTGATAACAGCTGCTGCACACAAAGGCTGCCAAAATTGATAATACTGATGAAAATAAAATCAAACTGAGCAAGGTTAAAGACCTTAAGGAAATCTCCTGAAGGACAGCCAGGGTTTTGTGTGTTTGTTCACTACACGTTCACTTCAAGTACTAACATTGCTCTGATGCTTTGCAGAGGAAATTTGTACTCTCGTTATTGCTGAAGTATTTTCAGAAGATTCTGGCACTTTCACCTGTACTGCAAACAATAAATATGGCACAGTATCCAGTACAGCACATCTCACTGTCAGAGGTAAGGGTTTGTTTTAGTCCTTTGCTCCCTGGTAAATACAAGCAGAGCAGGCTATGATTTAGGCTGCCAAGGCACCGTACAGAACGTAAGGGCAGAGTGTGCTGGTGCCTCCAAGTCAGCTCAAGTTCTAGAAATGTTCTTCGTAACTGAAAGGTCTGGGAATTCTCTGAAAAGAAAGTTTTTACTTCAAAGATGCTAATGGAATGTATGGGGGACATGGCTGAAGAGCACTGCTTGGTTTTCCAAACTAGAACGGTGTCTCTTTTCCCTCCACCTTTACAATAGTCCTTTTTTACAGGACTATTGTTGTTATATAAACAAAGTCAAACAACTCAGTCCAACAGCCAGAAGGACACCAGAGTGAGTTTTCTGAACTGTAATTTTGTGATTTTATTTCACTATGATTTATGGCATTTACGTAAAAGCTTGCTGTTTACTCTTTCAGCATCCGAAGACAGCAGCAATGCTGCCACCCTTCACACCACGAGCTCCATCGACTTTGTTGCTACTGAACACCAACCTCCCCCCCACGCTCCTTCCCCCCACGGAACAAACCAAACACCTAAACCTAAACTTGAAGGTGTTCTCGTGAACCACAACGAACCCAGATCGAGTTCCAAGATAGGGCTCCGTGTGCACTTCAAGCTGCCCGAAGATGAGAAAGGAAGTGAATCATCATCAGAGGATGGACCCGGTGCTACAAACCAAATCAGACCCAACCATTTCCCAGAGAAGATAAATGGACAGCCAATGAAAATAACTGAGCCAACTTCACCATCCAAGGAACCCCCCCCGGTACTGGCTAAACCAAAGCTGTAAGTAAACAGAATTCTAAGTCTCAGGAGCATCACTGATATTATTTAGTATTTATAGACCATGGCACTATTGCACTAGAGCAAAAACTCAAACACAGAGAAAAAAGACAGTGTCACATGGCACTGGCCTAATTAACCATACTTTTAGAAAACATATTCTACATATTCTGTATATCCCTCTTAGGAAAAGTGTTCTCCAATTTTAAAAGGAAAATGTTTTCCCTCTGAAATGTTATTAATTCCACAATGTTTTCTGCTGCAGTCAAAAGGTAAACAACCCTGCTTTTATGCAGGCAAAATAAAAGCAGGTTCTTCACACACGTCACCCAGTTCTGGGTATGGAATTTTGCCAAAATCAGACATATTCAGTCTCACACATAGTATGGACTGGCAACTAGAGGGCAGCTGTTGTCCCAAAGGCCATTCCTCATGACTTTATGTCCCACAAGCGTAATCGCCTCCTAAAACGGATAAAACATTTGGAAGTGTTTGATAATGTGAAACCCCTTGAACTAAGAAGCACCTGCACAGCTAGTGCACCATGAGCTCAAGGGGAAATTTGAAGAAGTAGTGTAGTTTTCTTAGAGAACAATTTGTGGAATTTACACTGCACTTTGTTAAGTAATATGTTTTCAGCATTTTTTCAGCCTCCCACATCTAGTTTAACAAAATATCCTTAATTTTATTTCTTGAATACAACTATAGGCTCAGGAAGGACTTTATAAAGTAATTCATTGGTACTTTTAAGCAGGGCTGTAATTTCATAGCATAAACATTACAAGGAGAAGAGAGAACTTACATACCACGTAGCAGAGGAAAAATTTGGACCACTGATTTTTTTTTACTTTATGAAGCCCATATTGACAGCACTGTCTACTTTCAGAGCTATGGTGTGTTTAAGGGAGGAGCAGAAGCAGTATTTAAGTTGTGAAAGGCTTGCATAAAGCAGCACTTCTCTCACACACACTCCAGAAAAACCCTCTGTAGCAAAGGAGTGCTTTATTATGCAGATGTATATATGAAGGACACAAAATCAGGACCACACAACTTCTAACTCTCTAACATTTTACTTTTTGAAAGCTTGAAATAGTTTTATTATCTAAATTATTATAATAATGTATAATGATAATTGTTTTAATAATTATATCTAAATTATCTATCTTTATGGTTATTTTTAATACATTATAGAAACAGTAATTCTTTTAACAGAAGAAGTTCTGTTGACCATTTATTTGGTTTGTCAGTACCAGTTGTAGTTGGTCTCTACTTCTACATTTTTCACTTTTTATCAACAGTCATTTAATAGTTTATAGCATGACCATTTTCCATATCCTCTATGTCCTTTCTGGTTTTGGAAGGGAAAAAACCAGCCTGTTTTTCATGTGCTATATTTCTATATACATAAAAACTAAATAAAACACTTGACAAGGCAAAATAATTCTCCTTAATTGCAAAACAGTTGACATATCTAGCAGATAGAATCTAGAAAACAACAACAGCATGAAATGCAAGTCCTCTCTTATTTAGACACCCCTGCCTGTCACTGAATGTCAACACCAACTAAACTACATTGGCAATACCTCTTATGGCGGATTATTACAAAGCTTTGTGAGTCAAAATGCTGGTCTCAGAACTTGCTTCAACAGGAGGTAAATTCACTTCAATCTGGCTTACAAATGCTCATTTAAAATATGATTCACCAAATCTTACTCTTAGTTGCACAAGCAGTGAGGTACTAAGATGACAGGGAGCAGAATTTGACAATGCTGTGCCTTAAATATCTTCAAGCAAAATTTATATTTATATTTCACATGATCAAATGTAAGAATTATCTTCCATCAAATAATTTTCAGACAAAAAGCTTTTGTGCCTCTGGCAAAGAAGGGGAGAGGAAGGAAAAGTTTATTTTAGTAGCAAACTAATATTATGCTCTTCTCATAATGATACAGAATAAGTCAGGTAGGAGTTTCCTCTGTCTCTTATGGTATCACAGGACATTTTTTTCCCCCTCACAACTCATTTTTCTCTCTCAATTCATATGTGGAAATGTAGTCAACTGGCATATTTCAGGGCTTATAACCAATTTTGCTCATCTTTATTTTATGTACAGTGATCAGAGCCAGTTAAAGCAGCTCCACAACCAGGTCTTGCTTGAACAGCAGCAGGTGCATCAGGCATCTCTAAGAGAGCTGTCATTCAACACGGTTTCATTGAATTCTGCTACTTCACTCTACCAACAGTCCACCTCAACTCTGTACAAGCAAAGCTCAGCCTCTGCTTCACAAGCTTTTGGCTACACCCGCCCTAAGCAGTTCCTGCCATCCCAAACCTCACCACCGGCCAGCTCCTTGGCCAGCTCCTCCCTTGCAGCATTCAGCAACGTCCCTCAAGCAACTCAGAGAACAAACAACATGGAAAATTTCACAGGAAATCCCCCACCTGCCCAATCGAGGTCCTCGGGAGGGTTTACAAGCAAAAGCGAACAGTCTGTCCCAAGCCCCAAAGAACCCGCGGTGCCTCCGTTAACGCTCTCTGCATCCAGCGTAAAACACTTCCAGCCCCAGACTGTGACTCCTGCTCCCATCTCCCCGACTGCACGGATTCAGAACCCCGTGGCTTTCCTTAGTGCTGTTCTTCCCTCGCTTCCTGCTGTGCCATCAACCAACGCCATGGGCCTGCCCAGAAGTACTCCAGCCATGTAAGTACCATAGGCCACATGCACAGAAGCAGGGGTAAGAAATACTCAGAGGAAACCAGGATGTGCTTCTGTTCAAGGGTTCAGCAGGGGAAATGCAAGTCATCTGTAAAGTAGAAAAGTGAGTTACTCATGTATTCTGGTCATTTAATCTAACCTTTACATTCAGTTAAGAAAGGAAGGGATAGTACCTTCTATAATAAGGTACACCAAGGGTAAGATAAATTCAAGACAGAGAAATGTGAGTGTGTAAACAGATATATACAAGAATGTGGGAGCTCAGAGATTCATAAGACTGTACTAGTGGGAGAAAAGAGATTTCATGAGCTTGCAGGATAAGTCACTCCATTTGCCTACATGAGGCACAAAAACATTCTTACCTATTGTAAGCAACAAGTAAAGTTTTGAAAGGTACCTCATAATGCAAGTTATTCTTTTAGTCCAGGTAAATCTAAGAAATAACTTATGTAAAGATATTTTTCTGGTTGCAGTACTTTCTACATTTGAAGTCCTCCAGAAAATCTCAGGACAGTTAATGGTTTGCACACAAATACTTTAATTGACAGCCAGCATGATTTCTATGAGAAAATAGCTACGATAATATAAGCAAATAAGGATGATGATGTACTGGCAAGGTTTTGGCCTTATGAGTTTCTTCTTTACTGGTAGAGTTGAAGTGAAATCCCTTTTATGGACCATGTGAACCCAGTGTTAGCATGGCCAGCCCCAGTAGATTGGTACAGCTGTTTATCCACAGAACCCCAAATTCTGCACAAAGTAAGGAATATAAGGAAATTATATCAACGGTACAGTTCAGGGTAGTGATAGCCATCAGTAAGTCACAATCTCCTGACTATCCCATGGATACTACAGTAACCAATCTGTTATTACAACAGAAGAATGTGTCCCTGCATGTGTACCATTCCCCACTCTGTGTGCCAAGAAATCCTGCCTTCAAACCATGACTGCCCTCCTACTCAGAGAGCTCCCAGTTGCCCAGCACAGCCACACAATTGCCATCACCCTGTGGCGCCTGTCTGGAGGCCTTCCTGGCTCTTGCATCCCAATCAGGCACACAGCATGAAGTTATAAGATCCACAGTGAGGGTTTTAACTGTGGCCAACTCAATCCTTCAACCTGCTTTCACAATGCTGCAAGAGCAACCAAAAATCAGCTGCAACTGGCACCCCTTCCTGCCCTTCAGAGCTTGTGCCCAAGTGCTCAGCTGCTGTTCTCTTTGCAATAATGACATTGAACCCTTGCAAAGAGATTTCCTTTTTCTCACTGCACAGTAAGCCATTACGATCTGCCTACCAGGCAGAGCAGTTAAATATTGTTTTCTCCATTTTAGCTCTCCTGGGTCCCAGCCCAGAGCTGAATTCCTAGAGCACAACTAGAGCTCAGCGTGCTGAGATCCAGATCTTGACCTCTGCATGGGAGAGAGTCTAAGTGGGGGTACAAAAGGTCAGGAAGGAACCTGAACAGGATCTGGGATAATCCGTGAATACCTACGGAAACTTCAGCTTCCTTTTGTGGCATTATTAATGATAGTAACTCTGGTGAAGGAGGGAGAGCTCGCTGTGCCTGCAGAACAACAAAATGGAGATACTTTGCAGAGCAATCATCAGTTATGCCTTCATCAGGAGTCCCTGTAATTAAGATCCCAACTCCCAGTAAACTCCCAGAAAGTTGCACACTTTCTAGCAGTGTCCTGCTGCTCTGCTTCAGCAGTGCACTCTCACAGTCTCCTGACAGTCTTATTTGAGAATTTAACGATTTTCAAACCTTAAACAGACTGCATCTATAACATACAAATAAAAAATAACTGTTGAGGTTAGGTATCATAAAAGGGTGAGAGAAATAAAAGAAGTAAAAGTTCATGGAAAGAGTAAATGATCAATGAAGATGTGAGATAAGGATCGATGACAAATTGTATTAACTTTTAAATTATTGTCTGATACAGTCATACGTACACATTGTACACCTAAGGTAACTCCTACACACATTTCTTTAGCATTTACTGTGACCTAATTATTACAGGATAAATATAAATGGAACTGAGATTCTTATTATACTATTATAATGCTTATTCTCTATAACATGTGTGGTTTTAATTCCTACTGGCATGGGAATGGGATGCACCATTAAGACAGTACCAAAAAAAAAAAAATCAAATGCTGTATTGTGGTTTAGCTACTATGTAAATAAATAATAGGTTCCTCCAGACAACTGAAATGTAACATATCATGTCACACAGGTGACAAAATATGTATATACTGGTTGCTGCATGTTAGTATCAGAATTTTCTTTTAATAGCCCAACCCAAGGATCAACAAAGAAAAACCTGAAGCCTCTGCCATTAGCAACAAGTGATTCCATTCGGGAAAATAAAGCTGCTCTTTTAAAGGACCTGGAAAGAAAATTGCATTTCAGAGAGGATGCTAATCAACACAGCGGTCAGCAGGTAAGAAAATCAAGTCTTATTAAAATAAGTTTTCACTCATGAACAAGTCATGTATTACGACGTGTGGAACAAAAGGTGTTTGGGTGGTTGAGCTGCTACGCTGCTTTGCAGGGTGAGCTTTGGTGGGGAGCTGTGCTTTGGAACAGCAAACTGTAGCTTTAAACAGGAAGCATGAGGGGATGCAGCTGTAGAAGATTTAGTTTGTGACTCACCAGCATTTTTCATTTCTGATCATCTCAGAGGCTGGTAGGAATGTAACACTTCTTTGTTTTCACGGAAGCCTCTGGACAGCAGCTTTCATTTTCTTGCTTTACAAGTTGCTCAACTTAAAATTAAAGAGTAATCAAACTGTTTAGAAAAAGGTTTTTGTTTTTTCTTTTGGTTGAACTAAAGTGGGGGGTCAATTTTTAGCATTAAACCTATTTTTCCAGATCTCCAAATTTATCTGAATTAACAAGGACTTTTTGGGAACTTTATTATTATTATTATTATTATTATTTATTATTAGAGTTTAGCAAAATAACAAGCCTTTTACAAAGTTCAAGGAACTAAATATCAGTTCATTCTTAACTGGAATCAATAAATTCACTGGATCTGGACACTGTCTATGAAATTAAAAAAGAAATAGGACACACTAAGGATTGTTGGATAGCTGTTCCACCTGTTGGTGATTATTCTTCTCTCACCTTGGCCATGGAGCCCTCGATAGCTGTCCCGCCAGCTCAGGCTTAACCCAGCAAATTAGGTTTTACCCCGATCTGTTGTCAAGGAACTTTTCACAATGTCCATCAGCCCTTCTGACAGAGAACATGCGAAGATAAGCAAAAAGCCACGGAGTCTTTAGAGCATATTACCCTCTGTGGACAACTGCAGTGTAATCCCTGGTTTTTTTAATGTTGCTGTTGACCTTTCTTTCTGGCAGATCACACTGCCAAAGCACTTTGACTAAAACAGCTGGCAAGCACTGTGTTTTGCAGATGAATCACAAGGGTTGCAAATTGTACTTGCTATAGTAGTAAGACAAATTATTTAGAGAGCTACTGTGAAATACCAGTCAATCTTTTGAGTTAACTCCATGATAACCCCTTTAGAAACAACGATAACTACTAGTCTCAAAGTTATCTGCTGACAGCAAAAATTATATATACACTTATTTGCTATTCTGGAGGACACCAAAACTAAATCTTGATTCTCCAATTCCTCAAACACTGAAAAGCCTCAAAGCTGACACTTCTCTAATTGTTATGGTAATTATAATGCCAATGAACTAAACAACAGTTCTGGAATTATTCAATAAAAGTTCCCTCATTTTCCTCTCAGTTCCCACCTTCTGACTTTACTCTTCCACATCCAGGAAAAGCATGGCTAGACTTCACTGCTAACTCCAGCAACTTCTTGTTTGAGTTTGCTCCTCAGTGAAAGCAGTGATTTTTTAAATAGATGAGATGAACAGTATTTCCCGAAATTCCTATTGCTTTACACTATATAGAACAACCAACTTCATGAAAATAATATGTTGGAGTGCTGGATCCACACTCATAGATTTTCTCCTGGTTTTTTTCCTCTTGCAGTTAAACATGGAATTAAAAAGGAGACATTGTCATTCTATACATGGCATATCTGTGTTAAATTGATACCAGGAAAAAACACCCTGTCATTTCTGCAGATGGCAGTCTGTAGCATTGCCAGGTGAAATTCCAAAACCTCAAAATCCTGTACAGTAGTAAAAATAAATTCATTAACTGATAACAAAGGAAGGGAGGGTGAAGAAGCTGGGCCTGGTTTATACATTTTGGTTATAAGAACTACAAACTGTGCTCACAGTGTCATTTACTATGAAGAATGTCGAGTGAATGGCAACACCGACTGGCTGTGTCTTATGGAAGACTCAGCAGCCTTATTTTTAGGACAGAGTAAACCTACAAGTGTTTAGAAAACTATGCACAGCCCTTACATGAATATACTCTTTACTTTTGCTAGAGAGCATTTGATAAGAAATTTCAGAGCAAAAGAGATGTGGGGTTTGTCCAAAAGCTTTTAGATCATTAAAAACCAAAGCCTGTAGAGCTGCAGATTCCAACTCATCACACAGCCCACAACACCAGTAACACCTCAACACTGAGCAAACAGAACTATCTCCTTACAGTTCCCACATTAAGCAGTCAGCTTCAGAAAGGTCCCAAGAATCACCAGAAGCTGTTTAATTCGATCACTCCAAAAATCTTCCTCAAAACCAAGCTTCGCATCGTCTCTCAAAGGTCAGCAAATGTAGGCAATTTTTGATTAAGGAGGGAAATTAAACCACAAAGACTCCTAACAGAAGCTTCTCTGCTCTATGCTAGAAATGAGAAGAGATTTAAGAACCTGACCAAGACAAATTACCAGATCTTGATATTAATGGGTACAAACTCTCTATAATTGTGGGAATGAATAGTTGAACAACCACTTGTAGCTGCCTTCTCAAGACCTAGATCTAATCAATAATAAAGTACAGATAGGTTTTCATGGCAGGGATCCTGGCTTGCAGAACTCATCATGTGAGAAAGGGAACCTGAACTCCCCATGCTTGCACACACACTCACTCCAGCTAAGTCTGTGGGAATTGGAGATGGCCACCTCATTTGCTTTCCCTTCTGTTTTCCCCTTGCTTAATCACTTTGAACTGTATTTTCAATATTGTCTAGCTGGACAATGACTTGCTAGTCTCTTCAAGGGTTTACATTTACATTTGGGTAAGCATGTCTTGTGCCACGTAAGACACCCAGCACAATTCATCTGAAAGAAATAAGTTGCTAAAATGGCACCTCTTCATGGGTAAAGAAAAGCATCCATGTTGGACCTGTTGTTTCTTGATTCCCACTGCTGAAAGGAGAGCAGAGGGAGGAGAGAGAATTCAAACTAAAAAGAAGACTTCAGTCAGAGCAGCCTAGATTAGACTGTGAAGCCAAGGAGTGTTACAGCTTGGAAAGAGACACTGAGATGCAACATAAGCCAGTTTTTTAGATAAACTGTAACACGGATTTTGAATAAGTCTGCCAAAAAGCCAACCTAGTAAAAGTTACAAAACTGGGATTAAACTGGGAAATTCGTCTAGAGTTGGCAATGAGTGGCCAACAGAATTGTTATACAGCATATGAGAGTCAACATTTGAATAAAGATCCTCTAGCCTTTCTGTTTGTGGCAATTTCCATGAGTTACTAAGCTAACATCAGATTATTTTGATTCTACAAGCTTCTACTAACTGTTAGCATGTATATTCACTAAGATCTGAATCTTGCTAAAGATAGATTTTAACTTCAACAGACCCAGGATTTTAGAACCTTTATTCATATACTAAGGTGCTTAGAACCTTACAGGAAATACTACACTCTATGCAATTCCTTTTTTGCCAAAAATGTTCACAGGTAGCAGAATGGCCCCAGAGTTAAACTACTTGACTCAAGATCTAGGATACCATGATCCAACTCTGCTCTGTCACAGACTTTCTGTACCACCTTAACAGATCCCTCAGCTTCTTCAGGCCTCAATTTCTCATATGTAGAATGCAGGTAATAGCCCTGCCCTGAAGAGTGCCTTGATGTCAGGTGCTCAAAAATGATGGTGATGGGACCAAACAGATCCATCAGAGAGACAAAATGATGTGAACCTGTACCTTCAGCAAGACTTGCACTGAGAGAAGATTTTGTTTGCCATACTGGTCAAAGTACAGCCACCCACCAGCACCCTACAACAACAGTGCCAAGGCACAGCAAGGGCAAGGAGCTCCCCAGAAGGGAAGGCGCATTTCACTGCCCCAAATTTCCACTAGAGATGCATAATCACCAGCACATTTCCTGACTTTGGCCAGTTTTAAGTCTTTTACCCTTCTAGCTATACTCTGACAATATTAATGCAACACCACCTGCTCCCCTTTTGCACGCTGTGCACACCAAACAACATGCATTACGTGTAAGAGAAATAACCAGATTTCAACAGCTGCAGTCTACTCAGCATATATAGATCATTATATACAATTATAATATGTATACATGATATGCATTATACTTTGTACAGCACATCACATCACTAGATAGGAGCTGGAATTTACAGTCTTTTAGCTGGTAGATAGCACAATTTTAAATATCTAGCTACTATATTAAACAAGTGTGTGAATCCCTGCCTGTAGAAGTTTCATGTTCCAGGAAAGCTGCCAAAAAAGTAGCTGCAATCCTGCATTTTGGGCTCAAAATCAGGGCTTGAACCCCTGTGCTCTTTCCCTCAGTCTCCTCAGTGTGATGAACTGCAGCCTAGTTTTAACATTGTACCCAGTGATCACACTGACTTGTTCTTCATGTGATGCTTTACAAAATACTTGTCTGAACCACAATCACAAACACTTTGCCCTACACCACTTTCATAATCACATTCAGAAATAGGCTCATGGCTTCTGTGATAAAAGCAGTTCTTCAGAAAGCCATATTAACAACTGTGTTCTTGCTAATCCTAACAGAAAATCTACCAAACAAGCAAAAACCTCCAAGATTATATTCTCTATAAAACAGTGTATTCTCACTTTTTTCAGAGATTTCTGCTCTTTGTAAGAAGTTTGGTATTACACCTTCAGTCTGTGTACGTTGACGTTCAGATTTTCACGGCAAAGTTAACTCAGTCGTGTTGATTTGTGTGCAAACTTATAGCAGCACATGCACACTGAACAACACATTTAGAAAGGCAAAGACTGAAGTGTGAGCACAACAGTCGGGCTGTGTGAACCCTAACTTCGGAATTTTCTGATTTAAAATGTATTTTTGAACATAACTCCTTAAAATGACCAGTCCAAACTTGTGCAGTCAGCCTGCACAGTTCCTAGATAATGACACCTGGGGCTTCCATGGGCAGGGCAGCAGCCTCCAGGAACGACAGCCCAGTGCTGACAGTGCAGCAATATGGGCAAGTTCTCACAAACTGCTCCTGTTATACCCACGTCCCTCCAGAGTCACATGCAAAGAAACGTGAGAGAAAACCTGCCCATGAAAGGGGCTCCACGAAATGCATTCCTCCCTCTATCAGAACTGTGTCCAGTTCCGGGCCCCTCAGTTCAGGAAGGACATGGAGGGGCTGGAGCAGGTCCAGAGAAGGGCAACGAGGCTGGTGAAGGGACCCAAGCACAAGTCCTACGAGGAGAGGCTGAGGGAGCTGGGGCTGTTGAGCCTGCAGAAGAGGAGGCTCAGGGGAGACCTCCTCACTCTCTACAACTGCCTGACAGGAGGGTGTAGCCAGGTGGGGGTTGGTCTCTTCTCCCAGGAACCAGCAGTAGGACAAGAGGGCTCGGTCTTAAGCTCTGCCAGGGGAGGTTTAGGTTGGATATTAGGAAGAAATTTTGTAGAGAGGGGGAATTGGAATGGGCTGCCCAGGGAGGGGGTGGAGTCACCATCCCTGGAGGTGTTAAAGATGAGACTGGATGTGGCATCAGTGCCATGGGCTGGGAGCCACGGCAGGGTTGGATCAAGGGTTGGACTTGATGATCTCGGAGGTCCTTTCCAACCTGGCTGATTCCATGATCATGTTTTCTTCTGCAAACAGACATGTGCCCCTATTTCTCAACGAAGTAGTTTGTAGGAAGTTAATGTCCTCAGCACATCAGCCAGGAAAAAAATGATACACTGTGTACACAGAAAACTTTTTAAGATCTAAAAGAGATGTAAGGTTAATTTGGCTAAGTACAATCTGAAAATGTAAGTTTAATTTATGTTAGTTGGTTAGGCCACTTAAGACAAATTGGCACTTTTGGAATAGATGAAATAAAAGATGTTAATTGTCTTTAAGCATTATTTGGTTTCATCTGTGAGCCATCATGGCTACAGCAACCCTACACTATTGATTTCTTATTACGTACCATGACTTCTTTCGGACAGCAATAATCTGGATAAAAAACCTGTATGAAAAACTGCTGACAACTCAGATATCTATAAATAATTCTGGGCTCTGCCATCAGCTCACAGTATTTCAATGCCTTTTAACTCTGCTCTACAGCTTTTGGATAGCTCTCTGACTTTGAAAAATCTTAACACTTTCCATCTCCACTCATTTTATTCTAATGAGAGTTCAGAGTTGCCCTCTCTGAGCAAAAATTCTTCATGAGCTTACTGTGTCTAACTTCTGAGATAACCCATTTATGCATCAATTTGCCTACTCTGCCCATCTGCCCTTTTGCCCTCCAAACACACATAACACTTGACAAATGGTTTATCTTTGTAAAGGGAATAACTGCTCAAATATGATAAACGAGAAACATGTCTGCAAAACAGTGTACCTAGTTTTATAATTATGCTGTCATTTAACAAATATCCAGAAATAATTACAAAATTTGAGAGGTTCATTACAAAAAAAAAAAACAGTACCGTGTTTAAACAGGCAGAAATGGGACTCTCTGTACCATATTTGCTTATGCTGCCCCGACCTTTTTTCATGTGACAAATCATTAGATGACAGAAAGGGAAGATTACTCCTACCTTAATTAATCCTTAATTAGCCTCCACATTTCCAAAGGTCAAACAGCATGTGAAATCCCTGAAAACAATTTCATTCTTAGGAGAATTACTTGGAGTATCTTCAGCTAATACTGAAAAATTCAGACACTCAAGGTAAACCTTTCTCAGTAGGTCAAATCTCTGCCATAGATTTTGCTCTCTGCTGCCAAGAACTACCTAAACAACATGAAGGAAACTACTGAAACCTCTCAAACGAGTGGAAGGAAAACAAAACTTCAAATGCGGTCTTCAGTTGGTGAGAAATTAGAGATTCTCCGGCTTTACACCGGCGTAACTAAGATGGCAATTTGCTGACACATGCTGCAGGAGAGAAGAGAAGCTCAACAAGATGAAACTTTATGAGGCTGTTTGGTGGTTCCCAGCTGCTGGCCAGCCCTCTGGGAAGGTGGCTGGTACCATCCAGGGCCTGGCTCGCAGCCTCTGGCACGTCTCACTCTGCCACACACCTGCCAGCTGGAAGCTCCTGCTTGGCAAAGAGGACTTGCAGGAGAGTGTCAGAGAGCAGACTGCCCCTGTCAGAGTGGGAGGGAGGAAGGTGTTAAAGGGAAGGAAGGTCTTGATGGGGGCATTCAGCAACCTCAGCTCCCTGGGAATGCTCCCGGTACCCTGTAATTATCCACACTGCTCCAAAGCTGTGTGGGAGTAGCAGACCTGCAGCATCACAGGAGCAAGGAGGAGTGAAAGGAGGACTCAGTTTCCAGCAAATTCCTTTCCTCCCTACTCCGAGCTGTCTGCCTTTTCCCACCATAGCTAATCTTTTCTAGAGCTGAACTTACAGCAATCTCCCCAAAAGAGAGATTTTGGATGAAGAGACCAACACGCAACACGTACCATTACCATTCCAAAAATCAGATGTTACCAGGGCATTTAATCCACCATTGGGATCTTCCAGCCTCTTTTACTTTGTGGTCGCCATGTTTTCTTCCTCTCACCAAGTCTCACAAACCTCTGTCTCCTCAAAACTCCACTGTAATGTCTACATTTTTGGCCACTTGTCCTCTTGGCCTCCTGACAAAATCAGAAGAGTTGTTAGCTAAAATTCTGTGCTACCTCTCCATCTTTTCTTCTTACTATCTGGGAACTGCTGGTCAAGAGCCTAATCAGCAATATCATGGTATGATCAGGGATGTAAGTGCCAGTGATTTGGGATATCTGCTAGTTCTTTAGTTAATTTTCTGTAAGATTTCAGACAAGATGCATTTTCTGCACCTTGTTTTTTCAGTGAATGGAATAAATCTAAGGATTGGTTACGTCCTTATTTAGTATACACAGGTTTCTAAAATGCTATTTAAAAAAAACCCCTGAGAATTGTGCTTTTGGAATTACACAAATACGTTTTGCTTTCTCAGTAACATCAGCTAGAAATCTATTCGAGTTTTAACCTGAAGGTAAATTACTCTGAAAATATTTCACTTTCTTCCTAGACTTAAAGGAATTGAGGGGTTTTTTTGCTGTCTTTGAAAAAACTCAGTTTCATTAGTTACATTCTGCAAACTTAAGATGCAGTATCTGTGTCTGCAAACCAAATTCACACTGTTTCACTCATTTCAGAAGTAGTGTAAAAGTGCCAACGGCTGCAAATACCAGAACATGACTGGTTTAGTTCAGAGCTGTGCCTCTCTCATCCTGCAGGAATACAGGATTTCAAGCTTTGAGCAGAGGCTGATGAACGAAATAGAATTTCGCCTTGAACGAACCCCGGTGGATGAATCAGATGATGAAGTCCAGCACGAGGAAATCCCTACAGGCAAATACATAGCACCCATCTTTGATAAGAGACTCAAACATTTCCGGGTAATGGAAGGATCCCCTGTCATATTCACCTGCAAAATAGTTGGAATACCTGTTCCTAAGGTAAGTCATTCTCACTGTTACCAGTAAAGGAATAAAAAACAACTACCTACCATTTTCTATACATCCCTCTGGAAAGTCTCACTCCTCAGAACATGGCTCTGTGGAGAGAGTTCTAAAAGTAATCATTCCCCCTTCCTTTCCAACAATATCTGCTCCTGAACATGTATCAGGCCTTGAGGTACCATAGGGACTGCCACAAACCACCTGACTGCAAGAGAAACAGAACTGCATAAACCCTCAGGAAGTCAACTGCTCAGAAAGACTAGAACTGACCTGAGATAACCAGTAACGTGTCTAGAGCCAAGAAAAGAGAACCTGACAGGTCCAGCTGTGATGTGAAGCTTTCAGAGCTCAACCTGGAATCATTCTAGTTCACATTATAACTGATCTGCAAAGTTTATAATACTCTAAAATTTTTACTAGCTATTGGTCAACTTGTGTCATGTTCTTATCTACGTTTTTCTAGTCCCTGTTCCACTACAGAGCAAGTGTTAAGTCACAGGGGGTGTGGGGGGGGTCTGATCACTGCAGGTGTACTGGTTCAAGGATGGCAAGCAGATCTCAAAGAAAAACCCGCATTTCAAAATGAACAGAGAAGAAGATGGAACATGCTCTTTACATATTGAAGCTGCTACCAACGATGATGATGGCAACTATACTATTATGGCTGCAAACCCACAAGTAAGATGATTTAGTTTCTTTTACAAAAATGCTTGTTTCACCTTTTTCTAATATATATTAATAGGAACAGAGATTGGGCCACCTAGGCTAACACTGAGTGGTGACTGTATCATAAATTAGATGCTTCAGAGCATAGGAGAGGAAAACATGTAAAGAAGACTGATAGAACTAATCCCCTATTCTTAACACATCCAGTCAAAATCATTAAGGACAATTTTCGTGTCAGTAACTTCTGCCCACTGATAGGTGCCTTTTGAGATGTGGCAACAAAACAGACGATATTTCAGGCAGAAGAAATATCAATTCAAGCAAGGAGAAATAAAAAGATACATCAAGTTTGGAAGTGTTACCAAACATAATTATTCTTTATCTAGGATGCAAAGACGTGGATCTGCAAATAGTTTCATCCCCCAATACCATTCTCCTTCACCCCATGTGCTAGATTAGCTTTTTATTTAGAAGTACATTCAAGCAAATCAAGCAACTTTTTCCAGTTTCAATTTTTACTCCTTTCTGAATTATATTTCTTCTCAGGTTCTGTGTGGTTGCACTGATGAGTATGCCAGTACAAAGGTACTGGCAGACAGCACCTGTGGCAGGAGTAAACAAGCAGGGACAGGTAGTGCTGAAGCTGGGTCACACAGCACCACTGTCACATGCATTGCCACAGCCTGGAAGGGTCACAGAAACACACTGCTCTAGATACACAGAGGAACTCCTGTCTCAACTGCACTCCACCACAGGCTGATAGCATTTGCTTTGGAGAAGTAACATTTAGACTACAGTTCAGCTACTTTATAAAAATAAATCCTAATGCATTGTAAATGTTCAATGTTTATACTTTAAAATGAAATAAGCTATTAACCAACTATTATTTCTGTTTCCTTTGTGATTTGCAGGGGAGAATCAGTTGTTCAGGCCACCTGATGGTTCAAAGTGTCCCTCTGCGGAGCCGACTATCAACAACTCAGCCTCACAGGTAAAAGAAAAAAGTCCCTCAGACCTTTCTAATGCTTCTCATTGAAGGCATCCAAACTAACCAGCTCCTGTACTTCTAGGCACTCACTGAATTTCTCAATCCTAAAATGGAAGTAACAGCAGCACTTCCCCTCCAACATAGGTCACTTCTATATTGTAATATTTTTAACGTCGTCCTCAAATACAGGGAAGTTTGATTTCATTTACCTGTTGCAGTGAAGCCAAAGGCAAGGGATGGATTAGCAAGATGCAATTCAGCCGAAAAGAAGCAAAAAGAAGCAAGGCCAGCTTGGGAATCCCAGGATATTACATGATATAGTTAACTTGATAACCTTTCTAAATGGAAAATATGCAAGAATTCAATTACAATCAGTCCATTTCTTTCTGCCCTTTTCTATAACTCAAGCTATCTGTTCATCCTTTCCCCTAATTCCTTCCCTTTTTTAAGCATTAGGAAAAAAAGGTTTGACTTTCAAACACACACATGCAATTTTTGTGCTGCAGAACACGACCCCGAGTGCCAGAAGGAGACAAAGAGGCAGTTCAAGAACGCTTTTTCAGGCCGTACTTTCTACAGGCTCCAGGTGACATGGTAGCACACGAAGGGCGACTTTGTAGGTTGGATTGTAAGGTATTCACTGGTTCCTCTGTTCATTCTCACTTTCCCTACCTCTGTACATGTGTTGCTTGGTGTTTTCACGTTCTTTGTTGCTTGCATGAACATTTTTCGTTCAAGTTTTAATGCTTACTTTTTAAAAACTATTTCTTGTTGCCATTGTCTCTGAGCTGATTCCAGGGATTTCTCTTGAATACATGCTCTATGGACTGAAGAGCACAGAGAACACAACCCAGAAACAGAAGGCTCACTTGCAAGGTTGTTCAAATTACTAGATATGTTCACCATGTCCTTTACCAGTATAAACTCCAGAAGTCCTGCTCCATTATCAGATTCTTGAACATAATCCATAATAGCACAAAATGGTGAAAAGAGAGGATTCAGCACATTATATTGTGTTCAAGCAAGTGTTCCCATTGCATTGCACTGAACTACTGAAGGTTAATAGTCCCGGAGAAGAGGGAACAGAGTCCAGTTTATTTTATGCTTCCCCAGCATGCACAGATGCAGAAACATCCCCATTAACTGATTCAAATCTCAGCATGAGGGAGCTGTCAGAGGTTAGAGGGCACGTAGTGAACATCCTGTGATTGAATACCCTGAAGAAAACCATCTGCTCCAACATACTTTGGTAGCCCCTTCATGTCCCAGTAGCCCAGCAAAGGTGGTAATGCTGACACTCACCTCTTCCATGCTCCAGAATGTCTCCTGCCCTCAAGTGGGTAGAAACTCTGAAGCACAGCTTAATGCTCTGAGGATGAACAAGATTCATTGCTACCTCATTTATGACATAAAGTTTACCAGGAGCATGCCAAAGAATTTGGTTATTCCTGGTTCTGCTCTCCCAGCAGAGCTCGGGAAGCCTTAAAGCATGTCTGCTATTGCATGAACCAGAAGAGAGCAGTGCTCATTCAGGCAAGTTCCACTTCCCCCTTTTTCTGCTTTGTAAAATATTGTTTGGAAAGCAGTATTTTAGACATGAGTAAGTACTTCTACCCCTTGGAAAGATTTTTAACATTATAATACAGTCTAATAGTGTAACAGTATTTAAAAAAAAAAAAAACTTAATCTGCAGTGTTCTAAAGCACATAAGTTCAACAGCTACAAAGTATTAAATAATTTTTCATCACATTTTACAAAATATAAAGTAATTTGTATAGAACTTTTCTTCATCTCTATTAAACTCTGTAGTGTTTTAGATCCAGGGTTTTGATTTATACTCAGCACAAAAAAAAAAAAAAGGAAACCAGCAGATTATTAGGAGTCTTTTGTGAATCCCATATTACAAAGTTTCTTCCTTTCTGACTAAGAAAAAGGAAAGCATTACTTGTAATTTTTTCTCTTTTTGCTTGCTTGTTTTCTCATTTTCTCCCTTTTGGAACTGGTGAGCAGACAAACAGAAGCTGAGAAATAGTTAAAAAACCCAGAATCTTTCTGCCCTATATTCTGACGTCATTCAGAGGGTGTCTGGGAAGAAAAAAAAAGCCTACCTACAAATTTACTGAACTCTGTTTGTCAGTGGGACGTTGGTCTCGAGCTCTTTCCCTGTCTGTTAGGTGAGTGGGTTACCAACTCCAGACCTGACGTGGCTCCTCAATGGCAAACCTGTGCTACCAGACAGCACCCACAAGATGCTGGTCAGAGAGACAGGGGTTCACTCTCTGCTGATTGATCCTCTCTCCCAAAATGATGCTGGAACTTACACCTGCCTTGCCACTAATAAAACAGGACAAAATTCGTTTAGTCTGGAGCTCACTGTTGTAGGTAAGAAACGCTGAAAAACTAGACAGTGATGAAGTTACTTGTACGTGCCTCTTCAAACTTGCCTTACGTGGTTTCCTTACAGACAAGTATAAATAAAGAGTTAATGCACTGAGACCAGGAGAAACCAACAGCTACAGAACTCCTCTGATGGAGGGAAATGCACCTGGTGTTCAGTTGACAGGGGCACTCCTGTTACTAAATAGAGGGCTGTAAGAATTCTACCTTACCTCTCTTGTCTGGGAAAAATGATCCTTAATTTTCTCCCCAGAAAATCCCGAGCTTTTTAATTCATAATATATGTTGAGGTGTCCTAGATTTCAGTCCAAATTTTATTGAAAATGTTTATAAATAGAAAAACATAAATCTGAATACTACTCTTTAATAAAGCCTTTCAAGATCTGAGATATTGAATTTCATAAGTCTAGCATTTATTTCCTGCAATGGTAGTATGTTTAGACCCACCAGAGATGCATCCATTCTTTTGCAAACTTCAGTTCTGCCTATTATTTACTTTATGTTCCCTTACAGAGGCTATATCATGACATTTCACTTCCCTTCCACTAAAAATTCACTGCCTATTTTGATGTCACAAGAATAATTTTTGATCATGTTCTTCCATACTGTTTAAAGCAAAACAACAATAAAATATCTGTTGTTCAATAATTCTTTTTCCAGCAAAGGAAGTAAAAAGAGCCCCCATGTTCTTGGAGAAGCTTCAGAACTGTGGTGTTCCAGAAGGGTACCCCGTCAGGTTAGAGTGCAGAGTTGTGGGAATGCCACCCCCCGTATTTTACTGGAAGAAGGATAATGAGACCCTCCCATCAAACAGAGAGAGGATGAGGTACTGTACCATTATACCCATGCTTGAAGTTTCTTGTGGCTGGACCAACTGTTTTTCCGTGAAAACCTGTGTGATAAGTACAGATGGTGGTGTTTTTAAAACAACTTCTTTCACCTACAAAAAGTTGTAAGAGGCTTGCTCTCCTGTGAGGTGAACAATGGCTATTTCCTTGGCTCAGAAAAAGGCATGGAGCATGACACACCACTGCTTCAGAGAGTGGGGACAGAGCTGATAGGCCTGATAGAGCACATGAATCTCTTCATCAAAGACACTATGATACAGTATTTTAATGCATTTTAGCACCTTATTCTCTCAGAACTAGACTGAGGAAAAAACAGTTTAAACTATGTATAAATTCAAACTCAGAACAGCTAGAACCTGGTTTTGAGCGCCCCTGAGCATGAGATGATAGAGCTCATCATATCAGACACAGAGGCTGATAACCAAGTTGGTCAAAAACAAAGGCAAAGATTTTGATCCATGCTTCGAAAAAACAACCCCTCTGCTATTTCAGACTGCCTGCCCCAAAGGCTTCCAGTGGCTCAGCACAGATCCATGGGCAGCACTGTTCTTGTTTGTCCTCTCTTGCCTCGCTTTTATCTTCCTGCCTGAAGCCAAGAGATGTTTTTGTATCACTATATGGACACAAACCAGCATCTATACCACTGCACCCCCAGCATAAGGCAAATTATGTAGTGCAGGGAGCAAAAGGTGAATGTTCCCTTTTATATTAGAGGTGTCGGAAGCACAAAATGTCCTCCTGACCTCAAAGTCTGTGATTTCATTCCAGTTCATAAGGAAACAAAATCTCAAACTTCAGAACATCCTGCAACTTCGAGTGTCCTTATGTACTCACCTCCCACCTCTCCCTTTAGAAGCACTTGGGTTGATAAAAAGGACCAACCTCGCCCTAGACAGCAGAGGAGTCTCAGTTCTACACTACTGAAAAGTTTTTCCTGGAACTGCAGCCAGAAAGTCTTAGATTACCAAAGAGCAAAGGAAGCAGAGATAATAATGAAGCAGGTTTCTTTTAGAGTGTTGGCCAAACAAATCTTGCAGATTTTGCCACTGTCATTTTCTCATGGAAAAGGGTGCCCCAAAAAAGCTGCTGCCTCGCTCTGGTTACTGTTGTGAAAAATAACACAACTTCATACAAGTGTTCTTGGTATTTTGTTATTCTTCCAGTTTCTGAACTAGGAGAAAACACAGTATGACTGCACAGCAGATTTGCATGGGTTTAGTTCATTGAAATTCAATAAATAATTCTAATATTAATATATGCAGAGCAACAAGTCAGTTCCCACTGTCACACCATGGCTGTGCACAAAGGAGAGCAGCCAGAACAGATTTCAGCTCTCTGATCACTGAAAGCAAATCTATTGAATACAACTTCCTCCTGAGGGGAAGAGGGGCAGGCACTGATCTCTTCTCTGTGGGGACCAGGGACAGAACCCAGAGGAATGGTCTGAAGTTGTGTCAGGGGAGGTTTAGGTTGAATATTAGGGAAAGGTTCTTCCCCCAGAGGGTGGCTGGGCACTGGACAGGCTCCCCAGGGTAGTGGTCACAGCACCAAGGCTGGCAGAGCTCAAGGAGTGTTTGGATGATCCTCTCAGGCCCATGGTGTGACTCTTGGGGATGGTCCTGGGCAGGGCCAGGAGGTGGACTCGATGATCCTTGGGGGTCCCTTCCAGCTCAGCACAGTCTGTGATTCTGACACTATAAAGAAGCAGCAGTCCAAGACATTTGAGGATAGAAATTATGACATACCTCTTTCATATTTAATACACATATCTTAAAATCTCGAAGTTTGATATGCTCTTGAGAAACAGTAATTCCCAAACCCTTGTTTTTCCCAGCATGCATCAAGACACAACAGGGTACGTCTGCCTCCTCATCCAGCCTGCCAAGAAAGCAGACGCTGGCTGGTACACCTTGTCTGCAAAAAACGAAGCTGGTATCATCTCTTGCACTGCTCGACTTGACATATACGGTAGGTACTGGCTGGTGAATAAAACCAATCAGAAATTATTGGCTTGGACTGGGTTTGAAATTGGTGTCACAGCATGGCCACAGGTTAATAAGGTCCCCAGGAGCAGGTATAATGATACAGCTAAGTGGCCAGACTAGCTCTGCTGCATCAGCTTAGAGGCAGGTAAGGAAAAAAAAAAAGCTCTAGAAAGAGTTTTGCACCATATTCTCTACTCCCATTTCCCACCTTTCAGATTCCTTGGACACATAAGCATATAAACACGTATTCAAGTTGAACCTTAACTCTGATCCCTCTGACACACGCCTCTGCCACAGTCCTGACCCCAGACAGAACAATAAATTGCACACAAGAAAGTGGAGCCCTTCTTCCACAGAGCGTGGATGGGGCAACCTGAGCCCAACTGATGAGGGCAAGTTTACATCTAATACGTTTGTCTAGAACAAAGAAGGCCCCAGCCCACGTCAAGAACTACAGCCCATCATTTAATTACTCTTTTATCTATGTAAGATGTAACAGTCAAAGCAGTTTATCTAGAGCAAGAGAGTACTTTAATCATTTAAGCAGCATAATAAAACAGAAAACATATATATTTTATATGTGTATATATATATATATATATATATAAATAAAATATGTATTTTCCACAAACTGGCCGGATTATAACTAGACCCTCAAAGGCAAAAGAGACCAACGTTTTCGAACTTGTATTTCTAATTTTTTTTAAAAAAGCCACCTAATTATCATAAAAAGGTCACCAGTACTTCTCTGTCAGCTTCCTGCCACTTGGTGGTGATACGGGCAATAGTAATGGAAGGATCAAGAGGGGGCTGGGGAGAGGCTGATTCAAGAAAAGGGTCACATGAAAGCAAAAATAGCTATCTAAATGTTGAAACACATCAATTAAATTTTCACGTGAAGGATTCAAGGCACAAACAGGAAAAAGATGAAAAGTGAGAAATGTTTCCCAATTCTAACTATCTTATATAAAGTATGTGAGTCATACCCCAAAGTGAGTGACAGAACTGATTTTCCCTGTGCTATTTTGAATAGGTGCAATTGCGGTATTGTAAGTGCAATCTGATATTTTCAATTCCATGTGCAAAGAAAAATAATATGAGTTCAAGTAGAAACAAATTGGGGGCTGCAAGAAAAAAAAAAAAAAAACAAACATGTCACTTTTTCAAGTATTTCCAGACAGACAGTATCAAAATTCAGCATGGAAAGATATTTCCTGTCAATGCTTAACATGCAGAATGCAGTCCCCTGCAGATGTAGATTATCAGAGTATTGAAGCCTCAACTTCCACCCATTCATTTTAACTGCTGACAGACATATTTGTCTGATTTGGATGCAGACCTGGAGGTTTTATGGGTATATATATATATATCTTTGTATGGCAAAGATAATATAATTATCCCTTTTCTGAAGTGTTTTAGGAATGATAACTGCTAATAATAATAACTAAATATTCTCACAAAATTTCAGCAGTATTTGTTCATATGGAAACATGTTGAATGTTACTTTTAAATTACTGAGTATATGTCTTTGGATTACATTTCATAATTTTTAAAAATAATCTAGAAAACATGTTACTACTCGTAAGCAGTAGAGGGCAATCAAAATTGTAATCACTTCCTTAAAGAATTTCAAAGCAATAATACAGGGAATTTAAATGCCATCAAAAGATTTTTCAGGAAAAAAGCCCTCCAGAGGACCACGTAGTGCAAAATCAGAGCCCTGTCCAGTTTGTTTGTCTGTTCATGCTATGGTGTGTTTTCAGTTTTGATTGCAAGAGCTTTGGAGAAGGCTCCAAAGATTCAATCATGAAATTTTGGACTTGGTGAAATCCACATAAACATTGCCATTGAATTGCACAGGGATGGAATTCCATCCGTAGGCTTCAATAAAAATACTCCACACGTAAACCACGACAATGACAATATTTGAAGGAACATGACCTAAAACAGAGAATAACGCTGCTGTGCTCTCCTCAAGGACGTTGGCAGCAACTTTTCGGGTCCGTGTCTCGATTTTTGTTGTGTCATTGCAAACTGCACTAGAGGTTGATACAGCCCCTTCTGCTTGTGTCGCTTCAGCTCAGTGGCACCGCCAAATTCCACAACCGCTCAAGCTCCGCCCCGGGGGCAGCCGGTACGCCAACCTCACCAGCCAAGGACTCGACATCTTCCCTGCCTTCCCAACTCCTGAGAGCCCTCTGCTCTTCTCAGCCCCATCCCAAAAGTTGGTGGAGAGTGAAGAACTTTGAAAAACAAACACTTGTTCCAGTTACACCCGCAGAGATATCAGAACTGTGAAAAAATAAATAATAAAAAAAAAAAAAGAAGAGGTACAAGTGAAATGCTAATGGTTTACAAGCAACTTGTTTATAATCAAGTGTACTGCTGCTGCAAATGTTGCAACTAATACATCATACAAGACTTTTGCATATTATTTTAATGCAGGATAATTGTGGTATGGAGTGTTGTGCAATAAATTCAGTACTGTGTAGTTTGCTAAGAATTACATAGTAAACATAGTTTTCAGCACCTAAAAGCCAATACCACTTTTACTTCTTGAATTAAAGCTACTGCACTGTAGCTGCCACGGTAAGGATTGATGCTGATGAGCTGGAATACTGCCAGTGAGAACACTGACATTACAGTAACAGCAATCTTAATGAGGGTAAACAACAAGACTTTGAATGTAATTCTAAAAAACATACCAAATAATCACAAAGCACAAGTTAAAGGGGAAAGATGTAAGTCATTTTTATATGATTATTACCACAGAATCACAGAATATGCTGATTTGGGATTATCTTAGAATTTTTGAACTTCAGACTAGATAAATATAGTGTTTCATGTAGGTACAGCTGTATACCCTAAATATTTATATTTGTGTGTGTGTGTGTGTGTACTCCATGGATTGTGCATTCACAGTGTAAGGGTTCATAAAAAAAGGTACAGGGCATGTGCATAAGGTGCCAACTTAGAAAATGAAAACTCCTTTTGTCTGAAACATGGGCCCATTGCTGAAACTATTTTCCAGATGTGCTTCCTACTTTTTTCTTTACCATGCTAGTGATTGTCTGTCTTTAACACAGATGATAGCAAGCTTATAAGTTCCTGTCTCTTTTTCCTAATTTTTAATGTGCCCCTACCATCTAGCTCATTTTATAACTAACTGAAAAGGAATTATGATCTGGTAAACTTTTACCATCACTTAGGAAATGATCACAAGTGCAGTGTCTACTATGAAGACAGAAAATCCTGCTAATACACAAAAATTAAAAAGTTAAGCAACAGTTATGTGCAAAGAGCTAAAAAAAAAACCCTACTGTAACTAATAATAGTAATAAATAAGGCAAATAAATGAAAGCTCAACAGAAGGTGTTAAATGATAGTGTTGTCAATATATTTAAATATATTTAGCATTTACACAGTTGCATTAATACCTCCCAGTTCTTAGACTCTGAATGTTTAAGATGTTTTTCTGCATCTTTAAATTGCTGCTAACCCTCTTCTCTGGACATTGTTTTCAAGCATTTCTTACTTTCTGTTTGTAACATGGTTGCAGAATGCAACGAAGTCCTGATCAAAGTCACAGAAATGAAAAAAGAAATTAACACATACTTTCATTTTAGACTATATTTGGGTTTTTTTCAAATTTAAAGTTGTAACTGAAAAAAACTACATATGCAAAGAAAACAATGGGGAGTTATCTTAAGAGTAAAAGAACATTGGATATATCCAGAGACTGAGAAAGAGAATGCCTTTCACTGGGTTTCCCACAAATACAGCTGCTGTTATCCCTAACTACTAAAGGGATACTACATCCCTAAGGGTTTAGAGGATGTGAATTTCTTGTATTGTGAGTGAACACCACACAACAAAACCACCATTATAACTCTCATGCTTTTGTTAGAAATCTCGGCAATTCACCCCAGAATGATCAGACCAGAAAGCCAAAACACATTTGTACCCCGAGGCACAGAACAAACTGCAGATACTTCCATGGGAAAGCAGAAATATCAGTTGTTGCCCATGTTGTACCTCTTCCCTGGCAAAGAAAATAGAACTAATAGCTATTCAAAGTGATGCACTGAGTGACTCCAGTTACGGGGTGCCCAGCTTCAGACACATTGTGGACCTGAATTTCTCAGATAGAGAATCTACTGCTCCTCTTGTCTTCACTTTTTAAGGATGGTTTAAGGATTCCATTTTTTGCCTGGGATCTCTCCTATTAGGCAAGTCTAGCTACAAGAGCGATCACTTGAAACAGAGTTCTTTACACAGTACAGAAGAAAGGAATACTAGTACTTAGTATTGGCAAATATCTGGTTACCAGTGCTGGAATCACACTGCTCAGACTGACAGCACTAGTGGTTCTCACATTTTACAACACACTCAAAAGCTCAGTGCAAATTCAAAGACAAAGTGCACAGTGCAAATATGCAAACCATCTCTTCCCCCTTCCTCTGCAATTTCAGTGGAATGTCTCCAAACTCACATCATTACGACTTGAACTGACAAGCTGAGGATTAAGTGGTACAATGTTTTTTAAAATGTACATTCAGTTCTCTGGAAGTGGGAGGACGAGAAGCTACTGTTCAAAGACTTTTTCCAAAGATCTGTGCAAGGAGGATTAAGCCTTAGTCATTCAAGAAGGGGCCCTAGAAATCTCACCGAGAGTTAGGCTACAGAAAACGGATCACCAGAATCTGTCAGCTGAACATTCTCTCCTGGTCAGTGTTTGCAAAAGGATCAAAATCCATCACATTTCCCTACATAATGTAGAAGTCAGTAATTTGAATTACTTCCAGTGCATCTGATAGAAACAAAATCAGAATCTGATCCCAAATGGTCTGTAGTCATTACATTTTGTTAGTTAACTGTTACAGGACACTTTTCCTCTGCACACACTGAGCCCATAAAGCGAGTCTGTACAGGCAGCTTGTGTGAATGGATGTCAAATGCTGTTAGTAGTATTGATATGCTCATCACAAGGAAGACTCGATAGAAAAAGACACCAAAATTATGTTTGTTGTTAAGTGGTGGAAAAGCCAATGGAAAAAGGCTTGTGTAAGCAGCAGAGACAGCACTGAGTTAAGTTGTGGGCTTGTGAAGGATGGCACTGCCTTCCCATACTATGTCAAGCTGTGCCAGAGCCTGTGCAACTGTGCTCCTTCCTGACCAACACAGCTGCTCGTTGCTGGTGTTTATTGAAGAACTGATCTGACTCCACACTAACACAGCATTTCATTCTCTGGCTCAGGGCAGGCTAATGCAGCAACAAAAATCAATGCTAGACCTTCCGCTGAGGTCACTGTCAGCTATTAACTTCCAAAAGTCCATGAAACCACCCCAGTGTGGAGCACAGTGCTCTATCACTACAACACAGAAATGGCCAGGTTTGTAACCTCTCAAGTGTTTACTGATTCAGAATCTTGAGGTTTATTTAGTTTCCCCTTTCCTCAAAGTCCTGGTTTTACATACAATCAGGGGCACAGTATATTGGAAACAAGCAGAAATGACAGCATTTGCATTGCAATTCTAGATTCAGAAAGTTTTGTCTTTGCTTTAAAACTTTGGTCCAGATGGATGCCAACCCAGCCTGCAGCAGCACAGAGGGCTGCACTTGGTATCGCTGGACCTCTTGCCTTAAAACTGCTGCATTGAGTTCCTTGTTTTCATCTGGAAGGTGGAACAACCCTTCCCAATGCCTCACGTCTGCCAGTGTGAGGAGATGAGAGCACACACTTCAAACAGGAGAAGCCAGGTCTGCAGTTCTTCATCTTAATACATAAACAAGTGCCAGTCCCAACTGTTCACAGTAATCATAGGTACTTCCAACAAGTCTGGAATAAGAATTCATTTAAGAACTGTGTTCTTAATGCTACCAGGTTTAAAAGCATTACTTTCTGGAAAATGTCGTCAAACAAAATGATTTACAAGACTTAACAAAATATTTATACTGAAAAAAATACTGGAGAAGTGACTCATTGATAATTATCTTATTATTTCCAATATAAAGATGTTCACTTTGAGCTTTAAGATTCTAGTTTATATCTTTTCTTAATTAAAGTTGATATTTTTTATTTTTTGATCCAAAGTCATTCTCACTGGGAAGAAAAAATGTTAATATCAGTTTTAAAGTACATTTTAAGTGCACATGAAAGGAAAAAACAAAACACCTGCCCTTCATCTCACCTGAACTTAAACAAATGCTTCAAAGTTGCATACAAGACTGTGTCATTCACACATTTGAATAATTGTGAAAATGTGCAACAATGTCAGAAGTTCTCAGAACTTTGCTGTGACAGCTGATTAATGGAATCAGACTTTACATTATTTAGAAGAAAATCATAAAGTACTGTCAAGTTATATACTAGCCATGCTTCTAGCAGGTAGTTGTAAAATAAAGTTGTTGCCTTTTTAAACAATTCTTGATATCAGTTTCCTTTGGTTTTAAATTATGCTTTCTTTTGCTGATAACCTCAGCCTCTCCACCTAAGGTTGAAAGAACAAGTATTCTCAGGGGTATCAGATACAGAAGAACAGAACCAAAAAAAGGATGAGTGCCAACACATTTGCTGGTTGTGATTTTGCTTTCCCATAACCACATTTCTCCATTCTTACCTGATTCCTGTGTACTTCTGTGCCTGCCAGGTCAGAGAAAACCTTCTTAAGACCATTTTAGCTCAGCTGCTTCCTCTAAGCAACACAAACTGCTTTTATTAATGCCTTTATATTTCAAGTCCACCACAAAGAACCATTTATTGCATAATAAAAAGAAATCCTGGGCTGTATGTGCTGTGAATTTAAGTGGAGTTCTCCACTTACAGCAGGGGGAATTCTGCTCAGAAACAAACATCCTTTATGATCACACAGTCTGTTAGCAGCAGGCATCATGGTTTTTTTAAAGAAATTGAAAAACATTGAAGATAATCTGAAATTTTAGAAAAAAAAAATTACTATGCACCCCAGGTTGCAGGAAGCCAGTCAAAAATTAACTTCTTATTCCTTGGAGTTACATATGCAGATATTTTAAGCAAATCCTGTAAAAGATACATTTTGCATGCTAATTTCGGTACAAATGAAAACTGGACTACACATTAGGAAAAAACTTGTAGACAATACTAAAATGTACTCTTTGGTAGAAAATACATTTGTATATTATACAGGGGGTTGGTTTGGGGTTTTGAAAGCCACTATTTCTCAGAATGTAATTAAAGTTAAAAATATAGAGCATTTTTTAATAAGTTCACAAGTACTAGGTGAAATCAATGTTTGTTATAAGATATCTGTGTAGAGGAAACACTGGACTGCTTCTTCCATGAATAAATATGTCTTTATCCTCAGCACATTTGGTTTTTTACCCTGGACATTTCTAGAAATAGAAGAGCTGAACATTTTTTTAGACATACTTAGAGCAAAAAGCAGGTGTTCCGCAAACTCTTATTTTAAAAAATCTAGATAAGTTTCACTCCTGAACCACAGAAAACTGCATCCATATTGCTCAGCTGAAATAGCTGGAATCCCAAGTGTAAGGGTATCTATCTTAAGGCAAAAGCTTCCTTTGGCAAATCAAAAATTTGCCTGGATGTAGTAGTTTTTTTAAAACTTGTGCCTGGTCAATCACAGGAGGGACTTCCACAAAGATTTCACCAGGAAAGTTTACTTAACAAGATGGAAAAAGTCAGCTAAACACAGAAATACCTAAGAAGTTGCCATGTCATTGACTTCACGAGTCTTTAATGGAGGTTGGTCCCCTTTTTACTTTAAAGAATTAGTACAGCAGCATCAATTCTTGGTGTTATTTTGGAATTCCAGTCAAGAGCTGAGTTTTGTCCTATATGTGTGTATATCATGAGATGGGCTGTGTCCTAAATACCTTATAAATAGTAAGAATGGAAAACAGAAGCCTAAAAAATTGGAATGAATGGAAGCTGTAAGACATGCACCTACATATCTGCTAAAGATCTCAATACTCAGACAGGAGGCAACCACTGACTTTTTGTTACTAACACACATTTTGGGAATGTGCTACTATGTGGGAAAGCCAATTCTGCTTTCAGCCACTGAAAAGTCACTGCAGTTAAAACTCTCACTCTAACTCCAAGCTCAAAAATAACTCTGGGCACGGTAAAACAGGGTGACATGATTCAAAGAATCAGAGAAGCAGAGTATCTGTAGCTACTTCAAAAAGAAAGTCCTGCAGAAGCCCTTTCAGAAGGACAGAGGTTAATTTCCCACAAAGAGTTCATTAGAATTTCATCCTGAATTTCAACAGTGAAACATGTCTGCGTGTAGAACACAAATAGATAATGGAGCAAGAATTTCTCATCCCTAATGTTTTCACAATAATGTGGTTCTAGAATTAGTGATAACTGGACAGATGTGTCAGGTGTAGTACTGATACTACAAACAGAAGCATTTCAGGTTTGCACTGCTGTTCAGTGGGACCAGGATTCATGAGCAGACAAAACTCGGTCACCAACAACACACCCAGCTCTAAGCACCTAAGCTTTTGCTTCATTTGGAGGCTTATTAGAAGCAATCATTATTTAAGGGGAGGGGGTTTCAGATGCCCATTCCAGTAAAGTCCAGTACAGAAGGTGGCTCACAGCCGCTACCTGACAAGCATCAGTCAGTGGGGAACAAGTATTTGGGAGCAATAATCAAATCCAAGTTAAATAGTTAAGTTTATATTTCATGAACTGTCACTGAAGTACTTGTAAAGGAAAACTATAAAAGAAACTAATTGCTTCCTGAATAGTTGTTGAGTCTGAGAAGTCACAACCAACATGGATATTATCTGCTTTTCAGACTGCCTTCTGAAAGGATTTTTAATGATTAAAAACTTTCTCACCACCCCAATTCACTCTCCAAAAAGCTTTGGCAGATGATCAATAGACAGACAGCTGTCTACACACTACAAAGGACTTACTCTGCTGCCTTCTGTACTATAGTAAACCAGAAATACCAACTTACAGCTCAAACCTGCACCCTCCCAAGAAACAAAAATACTACAGCATTATATATATATATATTAAAAAAAAAGCACAAAACCACCACAATTTTCCCACTAGTAATATTAGTAATGTTATCAATAAACATTCACCTCCCACTACCACAACAAAATCTAAGAGAATGGGAATGATAATCTTATTATAGCGCTCAACAGCAGAGATTGATGCCATGACCTGATTTACAAGGGCTCACAATCTATGTACTGCACTACAGCGCTTTTTAGGGCTTCAGTTTCAATTCTTAATAATTTTTGGTAATGTGAGCACAGATATTTTATAGTTTGTGTTGGTCTGTTCCTCTTTATGTGAGCTTACTACCATTTAATCATTCACTGCATACTAATTTGTTTTTTTAACTATATCTATCATCATATGCAGTAGACAGTAAATTAAAATGTTGTGAGGAAGAAACAAACTTGGAAAAGAAATAGATGTCAAGTACTTTTACCTGAATTACATATAAACTGCAGTGTCATGTCCCACAAAAACAAATCATGTGCCAGTGGAGACAAACACAGTCTTGTTCTTGAACACTACTCTGGTATTTATCCTTTTGTACTGTGATCTCCTTCCCACCTCAGCTTTAGGATATCTTTCACCAATCCAAGTTTTCCATGGCATATAATCACATGATTTATTTGTATCATATTCCCATTTTGGTATGGAAAACCCACTACTGTGCCAGCAGTGCAGGTGAGACAGTGTCTGCCTAAGTTTACAGCTAATAAATTAGGGTAAGATGGCACAGCATTTAATTATTTAAGAATTGCATTCGTTCCCATTACATACATCAACTTGTCACTTAATGATAATATTCAAACAGTATTAACTTGACTATATGATGAACAACAATTAATTCTATTTTATCTATGAGTAACATGCCTTCATACCCCTACAAGGATGAATCTGCTTTCTCTTTGCTAATAAAGCTCTAATGTAATTCATAAAAAGCAAAGGCCCACATTTTAATAATTAACACTATTCACTGCTTTTAGAGAGGTTAAATACACAATAAAAAAACCATTCCTGTATGCCAGTGTTTAAAAGGAGAGAATTGCTCAGAATACACAGTGTCTCTTCCACAGAGGTTTAACCTGGCCTGAAAGTGTCCCAGCAGCTTCCACACCAGGAACCATCCAACTCCCACCTCAGGAAACGTCCAAGCCTCACAGCAGTGACCAAGGGCAAAACGTCAGGAAGGGCTCTGGCAGAAGACAGACAGTGAGGTCAGGTGTCTATATGTAACTGCTCCTGCAGCACAGGCCCTCTCCCCCAAAGCAGGGTTTAGTTCCTGTGGATGCTTTTGTTTCCTCTGAAAGCTGCTTAATTGTCAAAAATAGCTCCTATCAAAGCTAATAATTTGTCATTCGAAAGAATTCTCAAATATAAGACATGGCAGCAGCCAGCAGGGAACCTGCCAGCCTTCCCTGCTGGAAACCCACCAACAGCTGTTGTGGGACAGCAGCTCCTTTTCTCCTTCCCTCTCGTGGCTAACACCAGCCAGGGCTCATCTCAGGGAGTTCCCCACAGCAGCACCAGCAGAAGGACCCCTGAGCTTCAGCCTGCTGCCATCACAACAGGCATCAGTAGCTGAACTCCTGCAGACTCTCCACCCTGCTACAAACACATCTGCTTCCCCAGCCAGTCTGCTCCTGCTCCTTTTTTCATCTTCCCAACCTCCTTTCCTCTTCCGCCTTTTCTTCCCAGACCCCTCAGTCCCCCCCAAGTGAAAGCAGCAAGCAAACAAAAGGCCATTCAGCACATTACCGGGGCTGAAATGAACTCAACTGCTCCATCACTTTTTCCCAAGCTCTTATCTCTGAGGCTGTTTTCCAGAGGGTACGTAAAACACACTCCTTACTGTAACTGGGAAGCAAGTATCATTTGGCAGCAGGGTTCTTCTGCAAATTAAATTGCCAGGATTGTGATGGAAGCAGTGTAACATTTGGTGTAGGAAATTCACTAGTAAGTAATTCCTAGAGTAGGAATTTCAGGTAGATGGTGAGGACATAGCATAGAAAACACTTTATTTATGATTTACAAAATCTGTTATTGTTTCCAGATAACACAGGATTAAAAAATAAAATCATTTAAAGTCTACAAAAATCTAAAAGTTTAGAGTATTTTCACGCAAGCATTCTCATTTATGGTATATAATCACACATGCTTTTACAACCACTAAAAATAAAACATTCTTTCCATGACTTGAAACTAGCTCTTTTTTGAGCATACAAGAAACACCATAAATTGGATTAAAGCAAACCTACACAACCTTGGAACCCATAATGTCAAACTTACAAAGTTTAAGAAAGTTAGTTCTCTGAGGACTAGAACAACGATACATTATAAAACTTTTTCCATGGGAGCCATTTCTGTGAAAACAAACCAAAGAATAAGTTTAAAGCTGACATAAAAATAAAAACATGGAACAAAGTTAATTTCTGCTGGTATTCCATTCAGTTACACCATGGGTCAACTTGTTCCATGATTTGTAGAAATACTGTCATGATTCATCACAGTAAAAAAAAACCCACCAAAAACTTACTTAATGAAAAAATCAAATGAACTAGATGAACTAGGAAACAATTGTCAGAAAGACTTCAAATTAAAAGTATACTTTCCACTAGCATTAAATAAATTCAATTTTCTTAAACGCATTTTGAAGTTCTCAAAGCAAATTCGCCAAATTAGTATAAGAGGCGAACAAAATGAGCTATTATAATGCCAATATTACCTTAGTCAAGCAGATTAACTCTTGCTAATTATTAAATTACACATCTGCTGCATATTCTTAGTTCAGGAGTTCTAATTAGCTGTTTGAAAGTGTTCCGGGTGGTAGCCGAATATCCGCTGTGCGTACGGGTCGCTGTCCGTGCCCAGTTTCTGTCCCGTGTAATGGTGGTAGCTCTCGGGGTGGAAGTGCTCACAGTGCAGGCTAATCCATTCCCGCTCAGTACTGTACCTTTCTGCTTCAGCCAGGATTCTGGTGAGAGCCATGATATAACTCAGGGCCATCTGCAGGGTCTCATACTTGGACAGCTTCTTATCCTGACCCCACTGCGGGACCACCTTCCTCAAGCGATCAAAGGCCGTGTTCAGTCCCTGCATCCGTCGTCTCTCCCGGGCGTTGGCAGCCAGTCTCCTCTTGGCAGCGTTCTCCATCCTTTCCGAACTGCACTTCACAACACAGCCAGCTCCACTCCTGCACTGCATGGCTGATTCCACACCTGAATCCGAGTGACTGGATTTACAGGTTTTCATATTTGATGTAGCTTCAGTTTCACACACACACACAAAGATTACTTTGTAAAAATTAGATATTTAGAAACTGGTCAGGAAAGCACTGTTTTGAGCTGCCTGCATACCTCTTGAATCTGTTTCCAGATCTCAGTGACAAAATATTTTTCTTAGCTTCTTAAAAAAAAAAAAAAAAGAAAAGAAAAGAAAAATCTTCTTGTTCTTCTGGAAATGTCCAAAAATGTTTCTTATAGTTTAAAGAAAGAATGAAGAATTGTTAATGTCTTATGCTTTCATTCTTTTAATTTCTTTAATCTCAAGCAGAGAGAAAACAATGAAATCTCCCTTCTCAGAATGTATGTTACTGAAGAAAATGATCCATTTATTCCAACTAGGATTCCAAATGACTATTTTAAATGAGGGAAGTTCTGGTTCAGTTTAGGAGAGTATTTTGAAATGGTGAATGGTTGCGATCTGAAGATGTAACTTCCTAACAGAGATCTCTCCTTTGGCTCCTGCTGGCCAGCAATGACTGTGTTGTATGGACAAGATGAGGCTTTATAGGAACTGCAAAAGCCAAACAGGTGGTAGCAGGTGGGCAGGCGGCACTCTGCTTCCATCCCAGCACCTTCCCACCCTGGGAACTACAGGCAGGGAAGAAAAAAAAAAAACCAGAACAGTAAAATCTGAACATTACAGCCTTCATCTGGTGAGAAGTCTTCCAAAGCCATTCTGTCCAGCCCTAACAACTTGCCATCTGGAGTAGTGTCTGGCTGACCCTGGGCAGTTAAGCAAAAGATCTTTTCAAAGGATAAATCTGTTGCAACACAGGGGGAAAAAAAAAATCTCTGTGCATTGTAGCATTTGTACGTTAAAGCACGTGAAAATTCTGGTGAGGTATTGAGGATAGAAGAAATAACTGTTTTAATGAAACAGGAGAAATAGCCTAATGATATACAGCCAAGAATAATGTTTTGCACATATGGTACCAAAATAAGCAAACTCAAACCACTAGAAACCCTTCAGCAAGCACAATTTTAATACTGTATAAAGTACACAACATTGCAGTCAGAACTGTACCTTGAGAAAAATGGGGATTGTGTATTTGCCTGTAAGCAAATTCAGTGTCATGAAATCACTGAAATATCCTTAAACAGTTAAAATGTAGCTATGGATTTATCTAATAATGATTGCAAAAATACACAGATAGGTTGTGATAGTCACACACAAAAACATGCAAGTATAGAAATCATCTGAAAACTGCTGTTTTTAATACACCGTATTAAAGCATATATGTGCATTTATGTGGGTTAGAAGTGTCTTTTTTAGCAATATTGCTAAATAAGTAATGAGAATAAAAGAGTATGTGAAAAACAGAAATCTGCTTGCTGGTAGTAAGGGATCAATTCTGCTACCAACTGTAATGATAGAGAAGCCACCCTATATACACCCACATAATCAAAACATCTTTCTTTTACTGTACTTGTACTATTAAGACCATAGCTACATAAACTTCGGAGGATATATCACACAATCATTTTATGATGTACATACGGGGGGGGGGGGAACCCACCACACAATGATTTATTATCTGTATTGATTTCAAACTTAATTAAATTGTTACCAGCATTCATAAATTAGTAACTTTTTTCATTAGAGACTGAATACTGTATATTTATTTAGAACTATAGCTCAATTGTTTTCATTATGACTCCAAAACTTGGTGTAGTTGTAAACAGCTGATTAATCCCTAGGAAAAGCAATGACAATGAAGTGAGGTTGAATAATCCAGAAACAATAGGATGCAATTGAACACTAATGGACTCCAGTGTGACAGATGTTGAACGTCGGCTGTTACGCCCAGTTGCTCTGCTCTTAATATTCTGCATCCTAATGACTGTGATCAGAGAGGAGAGCTGGGGTAGGGGCTCTCCATTATCCCATTATCAAAATGCATGCCACTTCTTCAATTTTTAAAGAAGTACAACTGCATCACGTTTCATTAGAAACGTTCCACTTTGCTCTCTGTGTGCACTGACATGTTCTGCCAAACGTAGCGAACGACTACCACACGTTGAGGTGCTCCTTTCTGACTGACAGTTTCTGATTATCCCTGTGAGGGAGGTGAGAACAGCACCTTACAAAACCCCTCATAACCATATGTCCTTCCCCCAAAAAAACCCAAAAAAACTCAGCAATTAGAACTTGGGAGATATTTCTTTTTCTGAAGGCACTTCATGGGAAGTACTGCATGCACAGCATTAAAAACAAATACACATCTGATCTTCATGCTATTGCTGGGGCATATTTTAGTGCTACTGCAGCCTTCTATGCCCAAATAAGTTTGTTAAATCCTTTGTCTCTTACAATGAATCTCCAATGATGTTTAATGTAAAAGAAAACAACAGAATCAAGGTGTACCATAAATTAATAAATATTGTGTGTTCTCATGAGGTAGCTATTACTCAATTCAGGTAATTAATCACTCAGTGTTAGGAGTGCTGCTAACTTCAAACCAGAAATACAAAAAGTTTCCCTTTAAAATGTCATATGGTATAATTCTGTATTTTTTCATTTGTCAGTTTTTTTGTTTTAACTTAATATGTGCTGCCAATCCTAATTGATTCACCACCATTATGCTTTGACTAACAGAATACTATAATCTCAAGAGAGAAGCTGTGATTTATCTCTCCTACTGAACAAACTGTACCATTAGCTTAAATGGTTTATTACCAAATCACAAGACAAGGGCCCAGATCCATTTGGATTAATAACAAACCCCTAACAGGATTTTATAGCTTATAGGCAAAGCTAAAAAAATGCTCTGTGTCTGATGAAAACACCTGCCTTGCACAATTTCATTTTCTTTAAAGTTTCTGCTTTATGAACGAGAAACATGAAAAGTATCAAGGTCTTATCCATACACATCAATTAATTTAGTTCATTTGCACAGCCCCCCTGCACAGCCATATGAGAATATGTTATTTCAAACTCAAAAATGAACAGCTTTATTGCTCAGTGAATAACAGAAAGGGTATAAGACTAAATTTTCCCAGGTTTCCTTCACTTGGCTTGACTTCCTCTATATTTCAGCTTGTCTCAGTTAGTGCTTATGTAATTTTACTCCCTTCCCGCTTTATTTTTCACAATTTCTCAGAGATAATAATATTTGAAATATTATTTTTCAAATTATCATCAATATGTTATGTTTTCAAAAAGTTATTAACGTATTCTGATGAGATACTCTGCTGTGGTGCTAAAAACTTTTCCAGATCCCAGCATGGGTTTTGTACACCAACCATTTCATAAGAATTTCCCTTTTACTCTTATTTTACCATCATAGACAATCTCAAGCCAGAGGAACATTAGAATCACCAGAAAGTTCTGTGTCTACTCAAGTTACTCAAATTTCAACTTTTCAACCTCTAACTATGCAGGTACAAATTTAGTGCTACTCCATGATCCTTGCAGCATTATTCTTAAGTCACATTTTAAATTCAAAACAGTATCATTTATCAAAATATTATGTTTTCCTCAGAGAAAAACAAGAGAGATGAATAAGAATGCTATTTCAGTCCTAACCCAAATTATTTTAGCATCTTTAAGCCACCACTGATATTAGGAAAATGGAGGAGAGTTTCAGTGCATTAAAGAAATTAAATAGTTTCAGGATCTATGACTACATACATAAAGTCATAAAAATTGTCTTCTAGGTATCCAAGTTAATAACTCAGATGCTGACTATCTCAGCTCCCACTAAGAGATTAATATCTCTCACCTGTACTACTATGGAAAACACAACCTAATTACTTCTGTTGTGGATTAACTGTGGCAAAACACTAAATTTAAAATAAAGTGAAAGCAATATTTCTGGTTAAAGTCTAATTCCTCAGTACATTCTCTTCTCTAGTTGTACTAAAAATAACATATCAAAACAAGAATCTTACCTCTCCCTTGCAGCCAGAACTGACTAGTTAATCTCGGGTAGATCCTTTCTAAAAGCCTCCTCAAGACTTCTTAGCACTGTAGTTCACACTGAGGAAAGCTGAAGGACTGGCATGCTGTGTGCTGCTTGATTAAGAGCAGGTGGGCAGCTACCAAAATACAACCATCCTTAAGAACCCAATTTCTTGCAGCATTTGACTCAGCTCACAAGACAGGCTAGAAATCCCACACAGGTGTGTGTTCTCCTGCCTTGGTTATTTGCATTGTTTTCCCTGTCACGGCCATAGGAATATCAGAAAACACAATAACTCACCAGAGAATGTTGTACCCTGAACTGACAGTAACTAATACTGGCAAGTTGAGTAGCAAACTACAGCTGCAAGAGGAGCCTGCAATCATTTCACCCAGGGCTTCCCACCCTCATCCTGGACACCCTTTTCTATGAGTGCTTAGAACATTATAAGTTTCCTCTTCAGTCTCTGGTTGAAATCTTCTTTCTAGTAGCTCACATAAGTCTTCCAGCTACACTTAAGGCTCTACTTGCCATACCCTCCATTTACCACTTCTCAATTGACCCATTTCTCCTTGCCAGTCATCCTCTCTGTTCCACATGATCTTTCTTAGGTAGCTTTCCCTCGGCTGAGCCTCAAACCCCACAGCTTTCCCCAGTGATCCTGGACAGAATACCATTTCAACATAACTTTGTTTGAAAGCATGTTTTTGCAACAGGAGGTCTGAAACCTCCTGAAAAATCAAAAATGAGGAAGGGTTCCTTTTCTCACGGTACTAGAGGAACATGTTTTGAATCTGGTTCTTATCTACATTATATATTGAATATGATTACATGTACAGATACATATACACAAGACAGCTCAAAGTTTCCACTTCAAATGATATCACAACCCACTGCACCACTAAAGCAGCAAATATTATTTGACATATTAAAAAGCTGGTGAATTTTTTGAGCACTTGGCACCACATATGATCTCATGTGCTCAAAAATACAGTTATCCACCAAGGTCAGTCCCACCTGCACACGCTCGGTGATCTGCAAAAGCTGTCCTGATGTTTTCCACAAAGGGACCTACAGACACACAACAGGAGACACACAGTGACCTTTTATTTTCTTTTATACCCAATTTCAATGGGACAAGAGTCTTCCAGAAAAGACCTTCCATTACTACATAGCTTGAGAACTATTAAAAGCACTACCTAAAATGCACCAAGAAACAGACAAGGGAAGAGATCCACTTTCCCCTCCTGAATTCAAACAGGAATTACTGGGTTTATGGTCTTCGATAGGTATTTCCCTAACCTGTTCTCTAAAACCTCTAACAGGGTAAGTAGCAGCACAAATGATAAATTATTACCTTTTAATATACCACATACCTTAGTATTAGAAAGATGAAGTAAGTAGTTATGATAGCAGAAGGAAGTATAAACTCAGGATTCTTGTGTTCAACTCCAGATTCCAGAGAGAGTAATGCTCCAGAGGTTATTTATCTCTTAGTCCTTCCTGACTTCCCTCTGTTGTGGCCCCTACACGTCCTCTGACTTTCTCAGGTGTCTCTCATCCAATTATCATCCTGCTCATTCCTCACATCCGTGCATCACAGTCCTCTCTGGAAAATATATGGGGATCTTTGAGGCTACAGTGAGGTGAGTTCCCATGTTTTCCCCCCTGTGCACACTGCTTTCCATATAGATTTGGATGGTCCTTTTAACCTCAAACCAGAGATGTTTGTTCCAAAAGGATTCTGCAGTGATGGCAATAGCCAAAGCCCAGCAATTTATGAACCAGCATAGGTGAACTAAGATGAATGCATTTGTTTTTAACACTTTACAAATGTAACTAAATTTAATGAGACCCTGACAGTGAAGCAACACCAGCACTATGAACAAAACCAAACCAAAAATCCTAAGCTTGCTGCAAAGAACTAAAACCTCTCAATAAGAAATCAGCTCAGCGTTCTTCCTCAATTGACATATATGGGTGGGCAATCTCGAGCAGAGGGTGTGATATATCTTACCTGCTGAACTGTCAGCCTTTTGCTGGAACAGGTGCTTGCCCAAACACTGGCAAGAGGGAAAATACCACAGCTACAGGTGTCAGTTCCCCACGATGACTTTGTGAAAAAACTTTTTTTTTTTTTACATGGTGATAAGTGACTCTTAAGTTACTTATTTGCTATGCCATCAGAAGCACAAGAAACACATTAACATTAATGCAACCACTGTTAAAAGAACCCCTAATTTTAGCTGTTCTACATTACATTTTTATTGGTTTTAATTAGACAAAAAATATACCAGGACCATTCACAAGTTAGCCCTTAAAATCCACTTTTTTCCTTTGGAATTCAGAACAAAGCCTACAAAAATTTCCAAAAACAGCAACTGAACAGGTAACTGTGCTAAAAGACAGTTTGGAATTTCCTTGTGGAACTAAATTACCTCCCTAGAAGGCTCTCCCTGGCTACCTGTCGAAGATCGTTAATTATCGATGTGTGAAATGACAACTCCTTTTTATTTTCTGATAAACCTTTTCCTCTTGATATGGGGGGATTGTCTCCCTGACACACAGAACTAAAGCTGTTCATACAGTATATACAGACTCTTAGTATTGGCAATGAATTTACTTTAGCAGAGCCTAGGGAAAAGACACCTGTTACAGGCGTGGAGCTTTCTGTTTACTCTTGAGAGGAGAAGAGAAAGGGAGATAGAAAAGAAGGTATCAAAGAAGAGAGAAATGTAAGACTGTGCTCCCACTGAGTTTCCCAGACACCTCATCAGAAAAAACCTTATTTAAAATAAAGCCAACAAACAAACTGCTTGCACATGCGGATTTTCATTGAGTAGCTTGACATACTTCAAAAGTAAAAAAAAATTGCAGCATGTTACCTATTATATGAAAACTTTTCTCTATGATTTATAATTGTGAAAAAAATGCACTCCCTGAATAAAAGCACCTTTTCTCTCCCAGTGACAAAAACAGCTAGTCCACCTCACTCCTAGTGAGTTCTTTTTGCTCATATGACAACTGTCCATGGGACAGGACCAGTAATGGCCTCTATGAGCACTCATCTTGATTTTCTCCATTCTTTCCTACAGTGAAAGTCCCTGTCCATATTCTCTATCAAGAGGCATAAAGACCCTCAGAGTGAAGGTGACATCTTCCCTGCACCTGTAGCCACAGAAAACCAAGGGAACAGGAAAATGAGGGCTGCAACCCACTGGTGAGACACCATGACCTGTGTAAAGCTTCTGTTCCATAAAGACTTTGCAACCTGCAACTTGCTTCACTCAAAGTACAGAAATAATTCATGTGCAGGAAAATACAGGGTAGCTTATGTACGAAAATGAGTGTTGAAACTGTGGAAACTAGGAATACTTCTTGACAAGTAGACAAAAAACAAAAGCCACTGAGAATGGTCCCATTTTGGGAAGTAGAAAAGTACACAAGAATCTCTGTGTGGGATAAAATATGATGTCTACTGTAATAAACCTGTAAAGACTTGAGTATATTTAATATTCGACCCTAAGTAATCTCACTGAATGGAATGGTAATCTGCTTACAATATTTAAGGTAAACATCAGCACCTGGAATTTCAGGGGAAAGAGGAAAAGCAATAAAAGGAAATGGGGAAAAAACAAGGGCCACAAGATGAGATATAAGCAGGGATACAGGCAGGAACAGAAAGTGAGAATAATAAAACAAGGGAAGGTTTCAAGTGGACTGAGCTGCAACAGTAGACAGTGGCTGGAACAAACAGTCCATAAGATTAGGAGCTGTCTTTTTTTTTCTTCTCAAACCCTTTGACTCATTGTTGTAACATGAATAAGAGAATGTAATGCACTTTGGAAACAAATTACAGCCATACAATCAATTTCCTATCCAATTAAGAAAAAGACTCTCAGAACTCCTCATCTCCCAAAAATGTAATTAATGCTACAGTTAACGTTGCTTGCCCAAAACAAAATCGTGTATAGATTGTGCCATAGTTTATCGACTGAAATAAAAATACATGAAGCAACAATGGAGAGAGCGATGCCAAAGGATGCTGCAAGCTTTTTATAAAATAATTTCTCATTTCAGGAGGAGTTATTTTCTTGTGCAAACAGGCATAAAATTACTACCCGGTGCACTGCTTCTCATTGATTTCTACTTGGCACAGTTTGCCAGATGCTGTTTGGTCTAAGTGTCGCCTTGACCTCCGCTGGTGACGCTGGCCCCCTTTTGCTTTGTGGCCCACTATTTTCCCAGCAGGGAGATCCCACCCCTCAAATAGTTCAGTTGCAACTTTTGCTAAAGGCTTGTAGGTTCCCCATATGTTGTAGCGGAGGGGACAGCCTGACTGGAATTAAGTCAGGAGTGGCGTCCAGCTCTGTGGCTGGAGCTGGCCCAGAGGAGATTAGAAATGCCCCAAAACTAATTAAATATTTTGTCTCCTGCTGGTAAACAAAGGCGAGCGAGGGCAAAAATACGAAATGCCTGATTTAACTGGGATCTGTAAGTAGCTTGACAACAGCAACCCTGAAGTCAGTGATGCATGATTTAAAAGCCCCTAATGGGTCAAAGCTGTTACACAAATTAGACTTCTGTTGATTATCCTTCTTTGCCTTATGTATTTGCAAAACTGTTACATAAATGTACTTACTATCAGTTCTCAGAGCATTTCACAACAGCATTTCTGGGGTAAGAGCCATGCAGTCCAGATATTTATTTGGAAGCATTCTTAACCTTCTCTTTTGCACTAACAGAGAAAATAAATATAATAACCCAAGTAAATACGTACCAATAAGAAGCGTCAGCATTTTCAGTAACACTTTCAAGGATCTGAACTGTCAAGTGCTGCTTCACAAAAATTAATAGAAGAATTATCTCATTTGATATCTAGTAACATTTTTTAAACATTGCCAGCTAAGTACCTTTTCAAGGCACTTCTATTTAAATGAATACATATATAATACATATAGAATATATATAATCAGTTAAACTATTTAAATGAAGAATAATATATATTTAATCAGCTAAATTATTTAAATAATGGATCTAATGCTTTTGATATATACAATTCAGATTTAACATATACAGTTGTGTAAATTAAAAATCCACTCTCGTGGCATTTTAAATGCTGTGTGTATTTTAAAATACACTACTGCAGACTTAACTTCTTTCCTTTTAGAAATGTGTCATAGCTACCATGTAAATATTCCACGAATATGTTTCAGAATGCTAAGTGAAGAAATGTCCCACAAAAATCCTGTCATGAAATAAAATGAGAATTCTAATTTGATGTTCTGAATACTAATTTCCTATACATGCTTAGCTTCATATGCTTCTGCAATCCTACTGCAGTTAAGGGGACTAATCCAGTGTCCAAAGACAAAAATAGCTGTTTGGTTGTCCAGGACCTCAGTGCAAAATGCTGTCAGTGTGAACTAAAAGTGACTTGTTAATGAAAGCAGAGTATTCACCTCTTCAGGGAGGGCCTGTGTTCAATCTTTATATTTTCCATAAGTCCACTTTTACTTGTGGTTTTTTTCTAAATCTTTACAATAAGGTTATCTTTATTTGCTGAAATTTGAAACAGTGAAAAATGGCAAGTATCAAATATATGAGTAAAAGAAAAGGAAACCTTAAAACCAATTGATACATAAATATACATATAAACACCGGCAAAAAATAAATATAGATCTCATTTCATTTTCATAGTATTTTACAATTAGATTTTTACTTTATAATTCAGCTGTTCTGCAAATTAAGTAATCCTGACTCAGTTTGAGTATAGCAAGGGCTGATGTTGCAATTAATGCTTTCCAAAGGAACCAGGAACTCTTGTAGCTCTCTCGGTCTGTCCCTGCCCAGACAGCTGAGAGCCCACGATCACACACATATTCCACATCTGCTCCTTTGTCCAAGTGGACAGCAGGACGCCACAAAGGTTTCCTCCATCCAAAGAAAGGCAATTCTAAAAGATTAAGATGCTCCAGTCAGGCACATGGTAACATTTGATGGTTTGGATGTTCAGATCCCCCAAGTGCCCCATTTCCAACCGATAACGAATTGGATGTGACGGGTGTATTCTAAAAGCTACTGGTAAAGCCAGTTGTGAATAAAAGAACACTTAATGTCATGATTGCTAATATAGCAACAATAATGCTGGCTTTAGAATGCACAAAGGACAACGTTTCCCACTAGGTACGTGAGAATAAAATGTGAGAAGCCATGACTAGAAGAGCAAAAATCTCACTTCACCCAATATATATAGCAAAAGGACTGAATATCTGATATCAAAAAGCTTGTTGGTTGGGGTTTTTTTCTCCCATGAAGCTAGTTGTTTCTTTTAATTCCTTATTTTGTCAGGATTTCATTTCTTGAATGTCAGCATTCTATTGGATTTTCACAGTTTTCTTTTGAATTATACAAACTCAAGGATGGGAAAGTTTTCTCAGACTTAATTATTATAGTGGAAATTTCAAATTAAGAACTTCAATAATTTTTACAGAAATATATTCAGCCACAAGAAAACAGGTTTCCTTGTTTCCACACAAAATAAATGACACAATCATCCTTATTTAATTGCATACATTGTGGTTTATGTCATCAACTACTCATGGACTTTAATTCCTAATGCAAAAAATGCAGGAAGGCAGCTCTATTTCTGTTGCAGCTGGCCTTGTTCACATACAGTTGAGAAGTAAAAAGGTATGTATTACTTTTTTTTTCCTTACAGCTTGAAAAAAAAAGTGTCTGAGCACAGTAATATTGATATTTATGTAATTCAGGCTCAATGAAAAATGTGCTTTGAACAAGGTGCTATCAGTTTAAAGAACTAGGGACGTTTTTAAAGTCACCAGGAAAACTTCCTGTCCAAGTTCTATAGCATCAAAAACAAACAAAAAGCCCCAAAGTTTTAAGGCCATGAACTGGTAACACGGAATATATTTTCAACAGAAAATTCCCAGATATTTTGCCACAGAATATGATAGATTTTTCCATATGCTTACATTTTTATATTAAATCTGGACATTGTTTCCTATACCTAAATCACAGAGCATCAGCACAGAATGCTTTGTGGAATGCTACTGTCTGTAGTGTATGTTGGGGGCCACCAGATTAGATGATGGCCTTATGAAATGCAGAAAAGACCATCAAAATACCTAATAATTCAAGACAGTGATGCAATAAGAGTCTGAAACTAGGAAGAATTCTGGCAAACTGCATGCAGATTCATTTCCCTTATTCTCTAAATCTTTAGCAAAAGCATCTTTCTTCTTTGAGGTGAATGGAAAGCGTTTAATGTATCTCAGGCATTCACAGAATAAAGAAGCTGTAAAATGCAAAGTGATCCACGAAGAGGAAACAAACCCAAATATTTTATTGGCATCACTGAAGTGCAAAATGTACAACCGTAACACTCTGTCCTCCTCTGAATTTTGAGGAGCATGGCTGACAAAACAGGAACGTGTGTGACTGCACAAGGAACACGAGCTTGTCTCTATTTCTTTCAGCAAGGTTGTTTTCTAGAAAGGCTGTTCATGTTGTCTCCCCCAAAGCAAACAGGTCTCGATACATTGCACAAGGCCTTTGCACAGGTACAACTGGAAGAAGCACGTAGGCAAATTTCTTCTAGTTAAGAGAAGACTGGCAAAATCAGTCTCAGGCCTCAGGAAGAGTGTAAGATAACTGAAAACAGTGGAGGAGGGAAAACAAATGTACAGAACTTGTGATCTCTCTTACTTTTCCTTGGCTGGCAGGAAAGGCTAATAAAAGCAATGAATTCATATTGTACTGTTTTAAGGATCAAGATCCCACTTTCTTTTCATTCATCTCAAAATCCTGGGGCATTGTACAACTTAATCAACCCTCTCAATCAGAGAATGAAGCAAAGATTACACCTCCTGAAGTATAATTCCCTTTGGAGCTCTTCCTGGAACTGACTGTACTATATTTCAGTCGGTGCTAGTGCTTGATAAGACAATCGAATCCTTTGTTAAGAACTTCCAAAAGGAAACAGAGGCACCAATTAATTGGTATTCTGACTGGAACTAATTCAAAGGTGTCTTCTAGTACCTTGGGATACAGTGTGTTCTGCTTTGGAGAGAACCAATCAGTCAGAGATTGATGAAGGGGTGATGAGGTCAGGTTTGCAAATATAGAACCATCTGCACAGTCTCCTGGGTTGGTACCTGCAACACAGTAATTTACCGGAGCAGGTGTTTCCTTTTAATATACATTTTTTTTCTGCTGAAATTGTAACTTTATTGAGAAAGTGCCTGCAGTTTGTTATTAAGAGGGTACTTCTTTTATTGTTGCTATTAACTATTAACTGCTGAAAGGTTTCTGAAAGTTGTAATACCCACACTCGTTAAAAACACAGGTAAGAAAAGAGGCTATGATGTTAAATACTGAAGTCAATCTGACACATCTTCAGAAAGCTGCTACACATAAACATAACGAAGTCTAAAAGGCTGTTTTTAAAACAGAATTATTTCATTCAGAAAGGAGCCGTTTATTCCTGAATATGGGTGACTGAAATTATCATAGTCATTTAGATCATGATTTATTTCTGTTTACAGACATAAATAATTATGGAGGAAGGAGGCTTTCTGAAACAAAAGAAAAATTCAAGAATTCCAGCTGGAATTTCCCACCTGACTTGAGCTTTGTGGGGTGCATAATCTGGTAAGTCCCCTCTGCTTTGGATCCAACGCACAGAGGAAGGTCAGCAGATAATATATTTAACTCAAACTCAGGTTCCTGGCTTTGCTGCACCTCATACTCTGCTCCAGCTCTACTATAATACACACAACCTCTTCTCTGGCCAAACATCTCTTGACCCAGCTCCCAGATCCTATGAACTGTCTTTGCATCATTAACTTCAACTGGGGGCAAACACTGAGGGTGTTCCCTTAAGGTGGTCACGTTCCACAAGTCTCTGCACAGGCATTACACCTCCTGCTCCTCACAAACCTAATTCCACAAACATTCTTGAGAATGTTCCTTGGGTTTGCCTAAGATATTTTATTGACCCCGTAATTCTTAACAGGACAAAAATAACATATGGGAAAGTAGTTTCTTGGTTTGAGCGTACCACCAAAAAAAGTCACAGAACGCTGCAAAGTGAATAAAACTTCAGCCTACATGAATCACAACATTAAAACCCAGGAAATGTCCTTCTTTGCCACTCAGTGAGGCAAAAACACAAGTCAAACTGAACCTCTCACTAAAGAAACCAAGAGAGTTAGAAATGTTTGTTTTTTCATATTCTACTTTAGACATCAAATCTAAATGTCTTAGTCTAAAACCAACTCGCAGGAAAAAAAACCCATACACACTTCTGACTATCTGGTCATATACTGGGTTTTGTTATTGTACTTCCCTCTTCTTTTGAATTTTGTTAATTATGGTTTGGGGTAAACTTTAGGAAATAAAAGGACAGTGACTCAGCAACTGAGAAAAAACCCTTGTTCTGTGTTTTTGTTTAAGTGTGGTAATTAAAGACAGATTTACTCCTCTGGGGAAAAAAATAGATGTCAGAATCAAACTGCTTAATTGGCAGATTTTTCAGTTTTTAATTGAACTAGTTTAATTTTTACCTGATCAGGCATCACCCTTAATTCTAATTTAGGGGTTTGATTTTTTTTTTACTTCTGGGAAGGTCCCCTCTGTTCCCGGCGTGTTCCTCTGTCACTCTGATGAACACATCTCTGATGAGACAAAGAAATCCTTACTTTCCCAGAAATAACT